AGGGGTCATTTGTACAACACACCCTTGAGAATCGGACGACTAAAAGAAGTCCGGTAACAAACTCGATGTATTTACCGGGTGGAGTGAGTGCGAAAGTTAACAAATAAATTTTATTAAAGGCGATACAGTCCAGATTTTCATTGTTCCAACATCCCGCTCCACCAGTTTGACATGAAAACGAATGAATATCGCCAATGTACCACCCGGTTCTGTTCATAGCCGCCATTCAACATTCGGTTCTCGTCCCTAACAACGTGCTCCAGCCAACATGTGTTTCGACCCATCATGTCGCCGGAGCAGGCGAGAAGTACCGGGAGATCCTCGAGGGTCCTGACGCGCTCTCCGGGGAACAAGGACTGATCAGACCAGAAGGGGAGGGGGCGGAAAGTACTTAAATACCTGCTCCATGCGGTCAACTTCTCCGTGGTTCGCTACCCGCAACTCCATCGCTCTTGCTCGCGCGTTCACCAATTGCCAGCAGCGTCCAGTCACGTCCTTATCTGGTCTCTCCTCTGGCACTTTAACGACCCCTGTCATTTTCTAGGATAACTCACACGACATCAACCTCGCTACACGTCGAAGACATGGATATCGGAGAGCCCAAGGCTGTCAAGGCCGAAGTGGTCAAGGGCATGTCCCAGGTGTCCCTCATCTTCGCCTGCGGTACGGCTCTCTTCTCAGACGGCTATGCCAACGGTGTCGTCGGTGCCGTGAACTTGCGTGCGTCTATCCTTCGCCTCATCCTATCATCGCAATGACGATTTCCTAGTCCTCATGACCGTCTACCCCGACTACTTCAACCTCACCAACTCCAACTTCACCAAGGTCCTCAACTCGCTTATCTTTGCTGGCACCGTCTTGGGCATGCTAACCTTTGGTATCATCAGTGACAAGGTTCGCCACTCCAGTCCTGCAGGATGTCAGACGACCGAAACTAAGCGTTCTCTCGTAGATCGGACGCAAAGCAGGCATGATGAGCGCGACCGCTATCGTTGCTGTCTTCTCGGCCCTCTCTGCCGGCGCGTACGGCGGTGGGACTGTCGGTGGAATGGTTGCAGCCCTCTCCGCATACCGGTACATCCCCCCTCCAAACCCACCTGGAATCTCATCTGACAGTCATGCGCAGCTTCTTTCTCGGTATCGGTATTGGCGCTGAGTACCCGTGTGGTTCCGTCGCTGCTTCTGAGCAAACTGAAGGCCCCGGCGTGAACAAGAACGCACAGCACCGCTGGTTCGCCCTTGCGACGAACACCATGATCGACTGGGGCTTTGTCGTTGCCGCCTTTGTTCCCCTCGTCCTGCTCTGGATGTAGGGTTATTTCATTCCTCATTAATGCGCGACTGACCATCCAATCAGCTGTGGAATGAATCACCTCAACACCGTCTGGCGCATCACCCTTGGCCTCGGTGTGATCCCCGCCGTCGCTGTCTTTTTCTGGCGTCTTCGGATGGTGGAATCCGCCCGGTATGCCCGTGATAGCATGAAGCGCGCACGGATGCCTTACGGCCTCGCCATTCGTCGCTACTGGCGCAACTTGCTCGCTATCTGCTTGACCTGGTTCATCTACGACTTCATCACCTATCCTTTCGGTATCTACTCTTCCTCCGTGGTCAATACCATCCAGGCAAACCAGGATTTGTACCAGTCCTTCGGGTGGTCCGTCGTTATTAACCTCTTGTGAGTAGAGTTCGCTGTACCGTTTCCCTCTGCTCATCTCTTCCTTTCAGCTACATTCCCGGCACAGTCGTTGGAGCGTTTCTCATTGACTACCTCGGACCGAAGAACTGCATGATCTTAGGTCTTATCCTCCAGGCTATCTTTGGCTTCTTCATGTCTGGATTCTACAAGAACCTCATCCAGCCTAGTGAAATCGCCGGCTTTGCAGTTCTGTACGGTCTATTCCTGACCTTCGGCGAGCTCGGACCGGGCAACAACCTTGGTCTCCTCGCTGCCAAATCCGGCCCGACTGCCTTCCGCGGACAGTTTTACGGCATTGCGGCTGCTGTCGGCAAGATTGGGGCTTTCGTTGGTACCTGGGTATTCCCGCCCATGATCGCTGCTTTCAACGAGGGCGGCACGAACCCAGACCGTGGTGCCACTGGTCCCTTCTGGGTCGGATCCGGGCTTGCTATCCTCTCCGCTCTCATCACTTTCTTCCTCATCCGTCCCATCTCGCATGACGGCATGGAGGCGGAGGATCACGCTTTCCGCGAATACCTCATTGCCCATGGATACGATGTCTCCCAGATGGGCTTGAAGGAGGAGATCATCAGCGTCGATAGCTTGGAGACCGAGAAGGGGAACGAGAAGGAAGCTGAAGCCAGTGAGGACGCTATTGTTCAGCCTGTGTAGAACCGTGGCCGCGGGGTGTGGACGATGAGATGCAGCTGACTGGAAAACGCGTATTTACCGTCCGAGTCGAGGCTAAACAAGATCTCCACTTGATGTCTTCTTGAGAATGTCTTTATGGGGTTGTATAGGGCACAACGCCTTGGATTTGTGGGTCTAATTTGATTTTCGTGCTCGCCCACATTGCCGAATTTTTAATGCCGTGGATATCGTTAGGTTCGTATATGATACAGCAGAGGAACAAGACTAGCAGAACGTCCGTGTAGGATGTTCGGTTGAACCCCGCCCTCGAAACTGATGCTCCTCAACTGGATCATCGAATGGGCACTTGGTGCTAAACCAAAACGATGTAACGCCAATTGTAAATGTAATAATATTACCGTTCTTGTGATATGCTGACTATTACAATGTGACGAAATCCTAAGTGCTGACCACGCTCTTCATGAGACTCAGATATGGACGAGCGCCATCGTGGAAGGAGTGATGCACCTGTCTCGTGTCAGGTTGGACAGATCATACTCCGCGGTCAACTGTTGAGGATGACATCGATTGGTTACCTTCCACTGCAACCTCCCTCTACATCCCCTCCGTCGTGGGTAGACGACAAACTTTTGATGTGCTCGCTTGTTGTCTACAACGTCCCGAAGAGAGAACATGTCAGACATAAAACAAGTTGAAAATTGATGTCTGCTTACTCGTGATCTGACTACTAGCCACGATACGCAAGTCTTCGTTCCTTGCGGAATACTAGTACCTTCTAAGATGGGACATTGTCCTACGCAACACCATCGCAACAGAATGTCGAAGATTAGGACAACCACAGAGGGCGGTACTCCCGCTGGACCTCCTGATCTTCAAGATTCGTGGCAGTCATGTTGCTTTCGAACCACTCACCTAGCCCGACATTCGGCTTTGTGGGTCTTCCAAGCTGCCTCCTGGCAGTTGGCGTCACAGTAGCTGACCACCTTGCACCGGCTGCATCTAAGCAAGGTTGGCTTATCTGAGCCATGGGAGTATCCCACGCTTGTCCTCCAGGAATACTGGTGCGTTTGGCTGGGATCTGTTGATCAAACTCGTGGAATAGGTCTAATCACTCCATTGCGGCGGCCACAGGTTCGCGCCACGGAACCGCAATAGAGGGGAGATAGTAGCCCGCGTCACATGAGAAGCCAAATCCTTCCAAAGAGAATTGCTAAGCGATCCCAGGGCAAGGCCGTTTCCACACGTGCAGAGGGGACGCGCGTCCTACTCGGCTGCCAGCGGTACCTTACCATCGCGCACGTACTCACAAGAGGGTTGGCACGGCAGCGCTCGACGAAGATCACAAGAAGAGACTTCCATGCCGCGAGCTCATCTCCATCCATTATAGGCCCTACATTCCGTAAGTGGGGTTTCAGTCTGTCCACCAAGGATAGAGAGAGTGGCATAATGCAAGTGTCAGCCACAAGAGTATGGGCAGCTAGATCGAGGCGTACATGGTTGAGGAAGATAAGCACGTAGCTGCTGCCTCGTGCAGGATCTGTCAGCGTGAGTACTCTGGAAGAACTTGACTTCAAGATTGTTTCGAACAGAGCGTGCAGGGTTGTATTCACCTGAGCGAGGGTTGTCTCCATGCGATCACGGGGGCAGGCTATTGGCTTTAAAATGGCACGTTCGCGATCGGAAAAGGCGAGAGAGAGATAAGTTTGCATCCAATCAATCTCGCTGTTCGTAGAAAGCCTCAAGACGGGAAGCCGTTCCAGGGTGAGTCGATGAATATTCCAACGTATGGGAACTTTCTGGGGTAGACACAACAGCAATGGGAAGCTGTTCATCACGTAGGTACCAGGCGGCACACTACGGGGTTCCTGGAGAGAGTCAGACACAGGAATTCGACCTGAGGGGGTCGATCAGTGACAACTCTCAATAGCTGTGCACGCATACCTCAATATAGCCGGATTTGCGAGCAATCCGTGTCTTAGCCTTGCGACCGTCAACTGGAAATGGATAACAAACGGCTTGTGCCACTCGGCAAAAGTGACCTGCATTGTGCAGGGCGATAGTTGGGTCACTTGTACCTTCGCTCCGCTTGCGATCGCTTGCTGTTCTGGTCCATCATCCATTCTGTAGCGTACAGTAAGACTGGTGACATTGCATCGCCCTTCATCGATGGTGACAGAGAATGGCACTATTGATGGCGAACCAAGCGCCTGGGGAGCTCGCCATCGGAGTTGTTCCAGTTCGTTTGGCCGGTTTGGCCGACCGCAGACCACGTGCAGCGAGGTCTCGTCCAGCAGATCCGCAGTGAATATGTCCAGGTTACAACCTAACTCTGGGGCCAAAAGGCGTGAACACCAGACCCAGGCCCAACCTGGTCCTGAAGGTGTCTTGTGCCGTTCCAACCCCTTGACATATCCTCCACCAACGTGATTCGCTTCTGGTGGCGAGCGCCGGGGACTTGAATGCTTGCGAAAGCGATGTGTATGCGGTGTGAGATCCCAGTTTGCGAGGCTCCATAGTACTGTACCGTGGAGTATATATTGATCGGCATCAAACGGCAGACAATTTTGTCCGTCCGGGTGCTGCTGATCTTGACGCATACAATATATTAATGGTTACCAGACTGTCCCATATTATACAAAGGTCTCGCCTTACGTACAGCCTGTCTTCATTAGGCCAACCCGGAGATGTGCAAAGCATTGCCCGTTTGACAACAGTCAAATTAAATCGGAAGACCGTACAGTGTTGCCAGCTCGTACGATGCAGGTAATAAACTCGGCAAAACCGAGGAGAGAGTAAAGGACAGGCTTACATAAGCTTCCATGACATTCTCGTTTATCAAGTGATGACCCTCTCATTTGTTCTTTATGGTGCTCCTGTGCACAATATTCATTGCTAATCAGCGTCTTTTCTTCTGACATGGGAAATTAATTCATACAGTCTTGTCTGTCTCTTCCATTCTTTCTGGATCTAGATGGGCTATTTGAGCTGTGTGAAAGGGCTTACTATGCCCTTTTGCTCCCAAATAGATACATTGAACCAATGTATTACTAACTAGTAGGTACTAAAGAGAGGTAGAGAAAAGGGTGGCCTACAGCCACCCACTATGTGTAACTCCATCAGACAATCTGATTGCCCTAGAGGCAGTGTTACCATATATGGTAAGTATGGGGATATCTACATATCCCTTAACCCCCCCCCCCCCACTTCAAAGAGGAGGAGGCTACAACTTAGAGACCTTCATCATATCTGTCACAGTCATCAGAACCATAATTGAGATGTCCTTCTCAGAAGGGACGTCAACATGCAATGGCCCTGCAATAGCAGGTGTGCATTCATCGCTCCAGAGGAAACCTTCCAGTTTCAAGCCCAAGGGAGGGAGGTCTGCCTGGGGAGGTGGAACAATTGCAGATTGATAAACCTGCGTCCAGAGCGAGTTGTTCTGGCTGTCAAAGGCCAGAAGTGCCTTTGCTGCATCCTTGTTGAGGATGTGCTCATGGAAGGAGCTGCCAACATGCTGTGCCTTCCTGGCCCTTCAGCCAAAATAGCCGACCCATGTGGCTAGTTTTCCTCCTTGCAGCCCACTGGCTGCAAACTCATGTGTGATGGCAATGATGTCCCAGGTGTGCTGGCCATCGACAATGCAAAGCACACACTGGAAGTGCACAGATGTGCTCCAATGGGGCACAGGGAGCTTGGGGATTTTTGCCACATGGGCAAGGTCCTTGAAGTGATCTTCAGAGGAGAAGAGGTCTGTGCAGACCTCGTAGAACACATTTGCATCTCTGCAAACAAATAATTTGTTATCATTGTGAGGACAATGATCTTTCAAGAAATTCCATAGATGGAGGTCAGGGATGTAATAACATCCATCCCATGAGCAATGAACACCTGCCCCCTTATTTGTGTGGGGGTTTATTTTGGTCCCAATTTGACTGATCATCTTGTTATACTTGGACCACAGTAGTCCAAATTGGGGCCCATAATGGGGCCAGACTGCCCAGTAGGCATCTGCTGTCTCCATGCACCTCGCCCAGCAAGGTGGATCATGCTCATGAATAGCACCTAAGTGTCTGGGAGTTAAGATGTACTCCCATGGCTTCTCCTTATCATAAGGAGGGAGGCCATGTGGCAGGCATTTACTGCCAGTAATTGCTATGCCCATAGGGGCAAACTGTGGCAGCAAGGTGTACGTTGTCTCATCCTTTTGACTGGATGATTTGCCAGACAAGCTGGCAACCACTGTGCTGTACGTCTTGCTGACAGCAGAGATGCAGGAGGAGGACATGGCAGTCACAAGAGACTGCATCTTCTGTGGGTGTGCAGATGGGAGCTCATCCACTGTGGGACATTTACTGAGGGCAATGGCAGAGGCCTTCACGACAGGAGGAACCCTCACAATGGTCGAGACCTTTGCAACAGTGGAGGTTGTCAGGGCAGCCACTAGGGCCTCCTTGATGGGGCTGATGTCCATCAGGACATCATACAATTTGTCTGCCTCATGAGAGGCAGAAGGGGGAGCTGCCTTGCAAGCAGCAGAAGGGAGAGGAGTGCAGGGAGGGGGAGGGGGAAGGGCACTGTTCAAAGCGGACAGCTTGCCCTTCAGCTGATCATTCTCAGAACAATGTTCATCTCGTTTGATGTGATAGCAAGAGACGTCCTCTTTCAGACAACTGATCTTGTCAGTGAGAGTGTTGCTCTCATCCCAATAATGGGAACCCTGGATCTCTGCATCTCTCTGAGCACGGAGGAGCATATTGTGTGTGTTTGAGAGGAACTGCTGGGCTTTGTCCATCCTGGACAACATGCAAGCATTCTCATTGAGAGAATGAGTGAGATTTTTGTTGCTTGTCTTGAGGGAGTCCTCCAGACAAGCAATCCGTGATTCAAAATCATGCTTGAGATTATGAATCTCATCTGCATGTTCCTCACACTCACCCCAAAGGCAATCGAGCTCCTGCTCTGCATCTCATAACTTGACACAATTATATACCAGCTTGTCAGCAAGCTGTTCTTGGCCACAAATGGCCAATTCCACATTCTGTGTCAGATGGAGTGCAAGCCATGGATATGGCTCCCAACCTTCCATGCACGAGTCGCAGTAACGTGTGTCGCTCAACCCATGAGCAAAATCCAGAGTGGGGGGATGCAAGTACTCGTCCTTGGACCTCCAGGGGGAGATGTCACCATAATAGTCATTGGAAGAACTATAATGCTTGCCCTGATGGGCATGATGTTGATAGCTGCTGGAGGCAACATTGTCATTGTGGGCCCTGTCCCAAGGAAGGGGAATGGGAGGCCCTGGGGGAGCCAAAACGGCTGCTGGGGAGCCAGAGCTTTCACCCTGTATGGGGGCAGAGGATGGTGCATTGGTCATGTGAACAACCAATGGATGGAGAGCATCAGAGACACAAAGAGGAGGGGCAGGGGCAGACATGACTGTCTGGACCACTGCAGCAGGTATGGGGAGTATGGCAGACACAGGTTCTGCCATAGGCAGAGTGGTGGGGGGAGGGATGGACAGAAGGGCTTCCATCATCTCCTCATCATCTGCAGGAGGGATGAAGACTTATCTGGGTCAGACACCATAATAGCTTCAAGCAAAGCTAATGCACTAGATAGTGCAAGAGACAAGGTGCTGGATGAGCACAAAAGAAAGATATGTGTTTGAACCACCTGGGGGAGTGGAGAAGGTGGTGGTAAGAGGGAGAGGAGCAAATTCTCCTCAGTGGCCTTTGCACTGCCCAAAATTTGTGGAATTGCTTCCACTGATGCTCTGTTGCCATGATTGCGGAAAAGGAAGGCCATGGGCCTTTCATTGTCAGAGCATGTGGTCTGACAATGACTCAGGGCCTTAGGGCTACCCTTTTAGGGAGGTCCTCAGGCATTGTCACACCTTGAAGTTCAAGGTATTCATCCAATTGGGTGAAATGATCTGCCTTTTGGGCAGACTCCCAAGCTTGGTCACCATCAGACCAAACAAAATGAAATTCTAATTTTCATTGTTGCCAACAATGATTGTCAATCAGCTCAACAAACTGCTCTCCATCTGGAGCATCACTGAATATGGTGTCCAGATCTCTTCCTGGGAAGAGTCAATTGTCTCCATGGATGTAAGGCCATAACAGGCTAGTGTGGAATACAGGATGTATTCCACATTGTTGCATGCTCTCTGAGAGGGCTAACAGACAATTACCCATGTCTGTAACTTTCTCAATGAGAAAGGGCCCCACAAATCAGGGCATAAGCTTAACCACACAATTCTTGGGAATCACCAAGTTACAAGTAGAAAGGAAGACTAAGTCTCCTTTCTCATATACAGGCAAAGCCTGTCTACACTTGTTTGCATGGAAAGCCTGGTCAACATGGGCTTCTATTATTGCATCTGTTGCAATATGGACCACATATTGTGCCTCATGCACAAATCAGTCCATGCCTTGATACTCCCATTCAGAGTGTTTGACCAGGCATGTCAATGATGGAAGATGTCCATAATTCACTTTGAACAGACTGAAACCTGTGCTTGCCGAAACACTAGCACTAATTGCATATTCTACCATAGGTAAACATGAGCACCAGTCTGACTGGTCATCTGCCACTGTTATGTGCAGCATTTGACTTACTGAGCATATCATACACTCAGTCATTCCATCCCTTTGCAGGTGGAATGCAGTCAACATCAATAATGTTGTGCCCATCTGCTTATGCAGTGCCTGCCAAAACATGGCAGTAAATTTTGAGTCTTTGTCTGAGACTATGCTAGCTGGAAGGCCATGCAAATGTATGACCTCTTGTACAAATATCCGAGTGACATCCACAGAAGATGACATTGTAAGCAGTGGTACTAAGTGTACCATAGCCATAAGGCAACAAATGATTACCAAGAGGTAATCATATCCCTCGGACAGAGGGAGAGGACCCATAAAGTCCATGGTGATGGAGCTCCAAGGAGCTCCAGGGAGTTCAAGTGAATGGAGAAGTCTGCTAGGCTTCTCTGTGCTGTCTTTTGCCATCTGGCAACACAGACATGATTTGCAAAGATGTTTTGCATCTTTACCCATGCTATACCACCAGAATTGGTGTTTTCGGAAGGCAACTGTCTTCCTATTGCCATAGTGGCCAATGCTAATGTGAGCGCTAGCTGAAATGAGCAACCATATTGCTTGCCCTTTGTATTGCCCAATAGGCACATACAAAGCAATACCACGCTGAGGGTGTTGAATGAACAGAAGTTCATTTTCAATGAACCACATCTTCAAACCTGGCAAAGTTGCCAATGTCTTCTGGTAGAAGGCATCTGCTTGATAAGCATGTTTGATTGTTGTAACAGAGCAAGCTGTCCATGTGGCTGGAACTGTAATGGTTTGTCACTGCAATTGGCAGACCCAACACTGGGTAGCATTGTTACTTCCCCTGCAGGGGCCAGCACTAGAAAGTCAGGCTCCACCTGAATAATCTCTGCACTGGCTCCTGCAGCAGTAGTAATGGATGCTACCACATCAGCATGGTCAGTATAAACACCATTGAGTTCAGCACTCTGCTCAACTCACTGTTTGACTCATCCATGAGGGTGATGAGGTACTTTTGCCTTGTGAGCAGGCAAAGGAGTATTGGGTACTACCCATTCTTGTGGGGACACTTTTGTGCCTTTGAAGCAAGTCATCATCTGACAAACAGCAACTTCTGGTTGCAACTTGGCAACTCGAGCATCCGAAAGAGTATTGTACTGTTTGTCCACTAGCGCATCAGCTAGTACTGGCTCAGACAAGCTTGCCAAGCATGACATCCAGTCCACTATCCTCTCTCCAGGGACATACAATATCTTTACAATATTGAATCACTGCAAGTATTCCTGCTGGCAAATTACTCTGTCCCCAGCCAGAGTTGCCTTCAATTGAAGGTATTGTAATGGCAAATGATCCATGCATATTGTGATAGGGATACCTATCAATTGGCTCTCCCACTTGATGAGAGCCTCCACCACAGCCAGAAGCTCATGCTTGTACATCGAGTATGACATCTGGGCGTCTGTAAATCGCCTGGAATGAAATCCAGCTGGGTGGACCTTGTCCCATGATGGCCCTTGGCCATAATAACAACCTACCCCACTGGTAGATGCATCACATATGATGAAGACTGGAATCCCATTCTTGGGAACAATGGGCTTCAGGACTGGGCAGTCCATTGCTAGGGCAATTATGCTCTTGAAGCACTTTTCGTGCATAGGAGTGACATTGTAGCTCCTATTAGAGTGTGTCAATGCTGACAACAGGCCAGTATATCTGGCTATGTCTGGCAAATAAGGTGCCAGATACATTACCATACCAAGGAAGCATTGCATTCCTTTGGCATCTGTAGGAAACTTAGCATTCCTAATCATGGACATCTTATCATTGTCTGCATCCACACCATCATTGGTGATCTTGTGTCCTAGAAACTCTATGCTGCTTGACAGCAAGTCAACCTTATCTGGAGATAAGTAGAGCTTCTGCTCTCTAAGGATTGCAAATACAATCCTTAAATTTGTGAGGGCCTCATACAGTGTAGAGCCCATGACAAAAATGTCATCAAGGTAGCATACTACCTTATGCATCCAATGCTCCTGTAGGATGTCCATCATCATTCATTAAAATGATGCTGGGAGATTACAATCTTCCTGTTGGCCTACTTGGCTCAGGAGCATTCCAAATGGGTTCTGGAATGCAGTCTTCCAGATGTCATCTGGATGCACTTGAAGCATTTCAAATGTGTTTTGAAGATCCAACTTGGATTGAAATGGGTGTTTTGCAACCCATCTATGGATCTCATCCTGGTCTGGCATCAGTGTAATATCCTTCACCATATTCAAGTTTCTCTCTTGACAGTCCATGGTCATTTGCAAGCAACCGTTATGCTTTGACACAACACAGGCAATGCCTGTTGCATCTGTGCTGGTACCCATCACTGAGTCTTCTTGTGAAGCTCATCCCTGTGCACTTCAGGGCAAGCAGGACATTTAGTCCTATAAACAGCCTTATCATCAATCAAATTGATATGATGATTTACCCTCCACAGAGGGGGAATCTTTTGTGGGATCTCACCCATGAGATCCTCTATTTCAGACATAAGGCCCTCCCTTATGCCGGCAAGCATTTCCTCAGAATAGGAATGTAGACCTTCCCCAGCAACCACTGGGTTTTTTGTCCTGGGTGTTCGCACTGTGAGCACTCATTTCACACCAGCATTTTGGGACATTTTGCCTCTTTAAGAGGGGACAAGTCCTTTTTAGGGATACTATTCTATATCCCATGGGACAATGCCTCTCCTGAGGCAATCCATCTACCTTGAGGTCCCCCAAATTGGAGATCTTTCCCTCTGAGATCTAGCATGATCTCAAACTTCTTACTGAAGGGCATACCAAGTATTACTTGGTATTTGTCAGTGTTGACAATGTCGAAATAGTGCTTGACTACTCAATCTTCAATGTCAACTTTGGCATTGATACTGTACTGTATCACAGTATGGCTTCCCCTGCTCATCTGTTGCAGGGCAATGGGGCACTTGAGCTTCATGTATTCCAAGCCATGGGCTCAGACAAAGTCTGTGGAGATTGTATCAATCTCTGCCCCACTATCCAGCAAGGTAAATGCTGGGAAACCAGCAATGCTGATATAGCATTCAATGGGAGAGGCAGCTGTCTCATCCCATAGAGGTTGGCCTCTACCTAAGCGGACAGTACTGTCCCTTTGCCATATTTCCAGCTTCACCATCTTTGCGGTGGCAAATTTTGTCTGAGCTGGTGCAGCTCGAACCATTGTTAAGCCAAAAGGCTTAATTGACATGACCTGCACACTTACAGGTTTACTGTCATCCTCATTGATGGCATCAATATCTTTGATATTGGCCAAATCCTCCACCAGAGGATAATCAGCAACTTCATCAAATAGGTCATATAGACCAAATTCCTCAGCAGGACAATTGTCCTCTTCCTTCTCTTCTGGGGGCATCCCAGTGAGTATGGCATAAACACCATCATCATTCAGGATGTCATCATCCTCCACCACTTTGTGTGTGGTGTGATGCACACTCTTATGTAGTGGGCAAATGTTTGCCCAATGGCCTGTCTTGTTACATAAGTAACAAGACAGACTACCCCCAGGCAAGGGTGGCTTTGGCCTGCCATCAATAGGACAAGCTATATCCTTCCTTGCATTCCCAGTCATACTGGGAATCACAGCCTTTTTCCCACTACCAGTAGGAGTGGGATCTTTATGGGGAGTAACTCCCCTATCAAACAAATGGCCCCTTGAAAGGCCTTCCCCAGTTCTAGGCATCTCAGGATGCCTATACTCATTTTGTACCTGTTGATATGATTGGTAGGTCTGAGGAGTTGCTCTCCTCATAGGCAAGGAATTGCCATATGATCCCCAACTGGGGAACATACTCCGGGACATATTCTTATATGCCTGTAGTCCCCACGACAGGTTGAGTCCTCTTTCCAACTCTATTGCTTGCAAGTATAAAGCATCAAAAGTGCTTGTATCAATGTCATATCCGAACTCTAGCACTTTCGTGCTAATATCCTTGGCCAAACTGAAGAGGAACCTCCTCTTTACTTGGAAGTCATTAGGACACTCATGCATCCTACCCATAATGGAAAATAACTTTCCCTTGTACACTTCTACAGTGTCTTTTCCTTGTACCAAGGAATCGAAAGCAGAATATGCTTTCATCATTTCTTCTGAAGAGAAGAACCTTCCATACATTCCCCACATCATTTGGGAGAATGTCCACTCTTCTCTAAGCCAGTGGCCTAAATCTATGTTTTGCTTGACCCAATGGTGAGCTTCTCCAGTCACATATTGACTGGTATAAGTGATTTGCCAATCACTGCAAGTCAGGCCAGTTGCCCTGGCTGCATGAAACATGCAAACTAACATTGCAAAAAATTCAATGAATTTCTCTATGTCAGATTCACCTCCATAAGAGGTGTCCAAAGCCTTAGGCTTGAACCCAGTTTTTGATGGGGGAAGATGATTGGTTACTGGCACAGCTGCCACATGTAACCACTTCTCAATCCTCCACATAAAAGTTGTTGGGATCATCAATCCTGCAAGAAGATTGGTCTTACTCCTCAACATAGAGGATGGCGCAGATTCACATAATGCAGACTTTTGGTTCTGTTGATAAGAACCACTAGTGGAATTTCCAAATGGAAATTTTGGGACATATGGACCAGTTTGGTCCATATCAAAATGAACATATGATGAGGACTCTTTCCTCATTTCCATATGTGGAGGACTTCTCAAATGAACCTCCTCAGTAACTGCATTGTCCTTTATGGATGCTCTTTCTGAACCCACTCTAGGTTCATCTTCCCTCAACAGGAGTCACAAATGTGGTGAATTGCCCTCTTCCCTCAATGGGAGTAGCAAATGCAGTGAGCTGGGCAATGTTTGTATTCCCAATCCAGTGGGCAAACTTTCTCTTGGCTTGATAATAGGAGCCATTCTGTTCAATTGGACAGAAAACAATTGCTTGCCCATCTCATTGTACATATGAGCATTAACCAGATTGCAGTTCACAAGCAGATTATATTGCGTAATCAAGTGCTGAGAAATGTCAGTGATTTTGAGCATTTGGCTCAACTTGGAGAAGGGATCTGCCTCTTCTCTGGATTCTAACAAATTGTTATTAAGATTATTTTGTCTGATACCAGACAAATCCATTCCCACATTATGGGGATTAACATTAGACCCACTTGGTCTACTTAGGATCAGCTGTCCCACAAACTTTCCTATGCTTCTATTGGAAGTGTTGTTGGTCAAGTTATCCTCATCCAATTGCATATTGGAATCCTCTGTTTCCATTTGCTCCCTAGGAGTGCTGGGACCAGCAGCCTGATCCCTGTATGCTGGGTCTGGTTGAAGGGGACTCCAATCTGAGTTTCACCCAGGCTCAGAAAAGCTCAAAGAGCCTTGCACAGTTGTGGGTGTATCTACAATCCCAGGTCCCAAGGCTTTAGAACCAACCTTGGTCTTTTGGGGATGTTCCTGTTCTGCTATTTTTTCATTGGTCTCCATTATATGGAGACCAAAATCTAACATGGAGCAGTTTTTGCTCTAGTCTCTAATGTACTCTGATTGTAGGAGTAGTGTCAAAAAAGTGAAAGGGCTTACTATGCCCTTCCACTCCCAAATAGATACACTGAACCAATGCATTATTAACTAGTAGTAATACAATGCGGGTGTACTAAAGAGAGGTAGAGAAAAGGGTGGCCTACAGCCACCCACTATGTGTAAGTCCATCGGATGATCCGATTGCCCTAGAGGCGGTGTTACCGTATATGGTAAGTACGGGGATATCTACGTATCCCTTACACTGTGGCACTGCATCCATGGTGGTGAATTCTGGTTCTGTAACACTCACCGAGGAGATATGAAGAGGCACTTGACTACTGGCTTGCGACACAGTGCTGGACACTTGCTACACTTACCATCCTCTCTTTCCACTTCCCTCACTTACTTGCCTGCGGGTCAGGTCCACCGTATCTTCATTTTGCCATAAATCGCTCACTCCCCGGTTCTACTTTCAAGTCATCACGATGCGACTCAAGACTATCTATGCTGCTATCTATCTTCTGGCAAGCGCTTCCATCAACAGCGCCTTGCCTGTGCCTGCCCTGTCAACATCTTACAACCCACTGGAAATGGGGGTAGAACCGGAGAAAAACACGCAGTTTTCGGATAATGGACTTTTCCCCCCTGCTCCTCCAGCCGATCAGCCGGAACCGAGTTCTCCGGGCAAACAGCACACACCGAGTTCTCCACATTCCTCCGCTTCATCGCAGGACGATAAGAGCCCCCTTCCTCCACCCCCGAACACGCTGAAGAGAAGCAAGACTCTGGTGCACCCGTATAAACCAGCCGTCACTCCGTCGACGGGGGTGGCAACGCTGAAGAGAAGCAAGACTCTGGAGTACCCGTATCAACCAGCCGACACTCCGTCGACACCAGCCGTCACTTCGTCGAAACTGGCCGCATCTGGGAGCAAGGAAGATTTCTCGCACATAGGCCAATGGTCGGTGACAGATGTCTGGTCGAAAGAGAAGGAAGGATAGTGGCCGTACCAGAACCCACGGAAGGATACCACTCGCCATTGAAGCCGTGGAATAGTACGCCCCAAAACCCTCTACGGAGAGTAGCCAGCGCCGTACATGCAGCGGTCTCATTTTCCTGGAAAAAGGCGTCTTCATTTTCCTGGAAAAGGAAAAAGACGTCTACCCCCGATGATACCGTAACCCCGTTCGACGCCCGTCCGACGTGCCCTCCAACCTCCAGACCTGATGCGATATGTGATGCAGGGTAGATATAAGTGAAGATGGGGTTTGCCGGTATGCTGGATAGAATGCCGTATGAGGTGTAGGAGTGTAGCGAGTGTGTAGAATTTTTCTGTAGAACTCGAATCTTGTCCAGGACGTCTTGCGGACTAGGTCACCTTCAGGGATCAGGATAAGTCATCGATTCACAAAGATCTGCCATTTCCGCATATTCCTCAGGTGCGCGCATGGCAGGGTTGTCTGGCTTAGTAAGCATGCTGGGAACTTACTTTCGAGGACTTCCCAGCTGCCAAACGTCTGCCGCTTGGGGGTTGTGCGACACGGGCTAACCCACTTCCGGGGCTGACGGCCTAGTCTATCCCTCGGATGGGAAACCGGTCACAACGGGGGAACAATCAGCGAACTCGAAATCGATGGAAAACAATCGCGTCTTGGGATTCCATGCGCCGTTATTGACCCCGTTGAGATTTGCAAGGATATTCTCTGCACCAAGAGCCTTCAGACACGTTCGAGTTGGATACCAGACATTCAAAGAGATGGGCGACGTACACGGTGGGCAATGCCTTTTTCGTGCAAATACGCTAGTGCCTTCAGGCAACGCACATCTGTACACGCTTGATGCACATTGGGAAAGAACTCGCCTCCGTCAATTGAACCGCAGCTTCATACATATCCGTCATTGAAGCCCCTTCCAGGGGATTTCCCGTATCCAGAGCTGGGAATACAGCAAAGGTGCCTGTTGCTAGGTTTTGCACAGTGAAGAACGAGATGTTCGGCTATGAGACAATGATTTCTTGGATCGCACGGGCTCGCCAGAAACTTAAGTCGCTGAAGTATTTCAAGAAACCGCAGGCCTTCAGGCTCATGCCCTTTGCGTTGAACCGTTACGGCTTCTATCCACATCCATCTGCCATTGTTCATATGCTGAACGGGACGACCTCGTGTCGTCAAGAGACGATTCGGGGAGATGTTCTTCCTGGTGACGGAAAAATACGGTCACCATGACCGAGAATCGTCTTCTCGCTGGGTAGCCGTCAACTTCGCAGCACACAGGGCCAAATCCGCGTTCCCCTCCCATAGGTGGCGTTGCAATGTGTGGATTATCAAAGTTGGACAGCAAACATCCGTTGTCGCGCAGCAGGCCTCCGAACTGTGCCCACCATACATGAGACTCCGGCGTGCCCACGCGTAAGGAGATGGCTTTGATGGTGAATCTCGTAGTACATGAGCATGGAGACAAAGAGATCGTTGTGGAACACTCACTGTCTGTGTAGTCAAGCGACTATCGGGCAGCTCGATGAGGCTGAGCCGAAGGATTTCATCATCTGGGGAGAGAATATTAGCGGGGAGGGGGCTGTACTCGCCACAGCAGGTCTTCATGTTCCGGTACCGCTCCTCAGTGGCAGGCAAATCCAACGTTAACGGAGATGCCGATGTTCCGGACCATGCCGGTCGGCGAGGATGTAAATAACATGACTGTTGTGGAAGAGTTACGCCGATGGCTGGCGCTATGGGCGTTCAAAGAAGGGAGCACACCGCGTGGTACGCGGATATTATATGATACATGTAAATTTGGACCGAGGTGTGTTTGCTGGACGTTTTTCGGGTTGCCGATGCGCAGCGTGTGATTGAGATTTGTGCTGTGAAAGTGGGTATTTTATCTTATCGCGCGCATGATTATTTATTTACAGGTACTTAGTTCGAGTTGATGGTCTATGAGATGACGCTGTGTTGTTTATAACGAGCAGCGTCTATTATGAGCAACCTATTGTCGGTGTAAATAGTGTGTCTGCGGCATATCAGCTCAGGCAAGTCACCAAAATAGTAGCAGTATATGCCCGTAGAGTAAACAGAAAATATGCAGAAGATCATCTGTCAAGCTCAAGTTTCTATTACGCCGTTCTGCGACGTTGACGGCGGTGTGAGGGGGAATATATATAAAAGAGGCAGTATCCATTAATAATCTATATCTCACTCCGATGCGCTCGGCGTCAATCAATGGCACTAATGGCACTACAAGACTCGCCATTCTCCCCTCCTTTCCTTTAAACCACCACCATGCGTCCATCCTTCCCCTTCATCCTCTCCATCCTTGCTTCTTACAACGCTCTCGCCCACCCAGGTTGTGGGGGGCACGGCGACCTCGGCTGGAAACGCAATCTTCGCGGGCGATTCATCTCACGGGACATGGTATCAGACCCAAACAGCATAGGTATGTCCAATTCCCATACAAGCAAAATAACGCAACCTCACATCACCATCATCTTACCCTAGATCTCAACGATGAATGCACCCCGTACTCGTACCAGCCCGTCCTAGACGTCGAGAAGAACTATCCTCCAATCTGGGATACGGCCACCCTCATCCCTGGCGATCAGGCAGCTGCCAGCCTCTTCGCGTCCATCAACGCCAGCGTCAACTCGCTGCTCCCCGCTGATCTCCCACATGGTGCACCGACGGGCAATTGGAGTGCGCACCCCCATCCCCATATCCTGATCAAGTACTCATCCTCTTCCAGCCGGAGTGACCTACTCCTCCGCGGACCCGGACTGCTGGTGGTCGTGGAACGAATGCACCATGCCCAAGGTCTCCTTCCTTCAGCCGGATATCATCAGCGTCCCCGAACCCAACAGCTGGGGGTACGGCTTTGACGACGGCCCCAACTGCTCCCACAACGCATTCTACGACTTCCTGCAGCAGCAACAGCAGAAGGCTACCATGTACGCCCTTTCCTGGGCCCCCTCGGACTGGAGACTGACATCCGCGTAGGTTCTATATTGGAAGCAATATCATGGACTGGCCGCTGCAGGCCATGCGTGCGATCACCGACGGACACCAGGTCTGCGTCCACACATGGAGTCATCAGTAAGCACACGCCTTGTCCTCCGAACCCTCGATACTGACCGTCTTTCCAGGTACATGACCGCGTTCACGAACGAGGAGGTGTTTGCAGAACTGTACTACACCCGGTCGATCATCAAGGATATCCTCGGTGTCACTCCCCTTTGCTGGTGCACGTTGTTCACCTACCCGGATTGACGCATATACTGATAGCGTTCAGGCGCCCGCCGTACGGCGACGTCGATAACCGCGTGAGGTATATCGCTAGCCAGCTCAACCTCTCTACCATCGTGTGGGAGTACGATACCGTGCGTCCGCCCACTTTGCTCCTCCTAGGATATACTCACTAGGTGAATATAGAACGACTGGCGGGAAGGAACCGGCAGTCCGGTGGTCACGCCAGACCAGATCGACGCCAACTACCAAGAGATCATCGATGCGGCTAATAATGGAACATATGCCAACCGACCCGGGCCGCTCGTGCTCACCCATGAGCTCAGTGCGTCTCTCAACGTTTTCTCCCCACCCTCTCCCTGACCCCATCTAGCCAACTTTACAATGTCCGAAGCGATCAAGTTCTACCCAAAGATCAAGGCTGCCTTCGCCCACCTCCTGCCCATCGCCACGGCGCTGAACCAGACAAACCCTTATGTGGAGCAGAACGTCACTTACCCTACGTTCGAGCAGTACATCTCAGGGCAGAACGCTTCCAGCGGAGCTGCTGGGTCGACGACTGCTTCTGGCACGATCATCGGCTCGCCCTCCACTACGGCGACCCCAGGAAAGACATCCCTGGCAAGCAGGCAGACCAGCCAGGTATTCGTCCTTCTCCTGCCCGCCTTCATTGCTGTTTCCTGCCTCAGCATGTGGTGAAGGAGCATCTTACCTTCCCTTACGTTTTTGGTTGACGATCGAGGTTGGACCTTTCACAATCTTCAGGAACACCTTCTTTACACGGATTCACGCTACTTCAACTTCTTGCCTTGCTCTATCAGAGAAAAAGACAATACGATTCTTCTATTGTTGCTTCATGAACCAGCATACTAGTTCCCACGGATTCCTCCACTGGCTCGGGGCCCAGTTTGGTCCGTTCTTTCTCTTCCCTCTGCATCCCTTCGCTCCAGGCCTGTTCAGGCTATGGCAGTGAGGTGCAACAAGCACATGTCGTACAGATGTATGGAGACTATGTCGTTTCCTTTCTGTCCTCCGTCCTCCAACTATTCGGAGGCCCCGCGCTGTAACCAACGCTCTTCACGACAATCAGGTTCGGGCTTTTAACACCCTCGAGGAACAATTTTTCCTTGCACGACTTCACGTCAGTTCTTGCTTCGCTCTATCAGATAAAACATAATATGATCCCCCTATTCTTTGCGTGACCGCGCATCGTTTAGCATCATACAGGTTCCCCACAGCACAAGTCACCATAACGCCACGCTATGTCACGCGATTCCGTCTCTCTGCCACATCCATGCACCGACTTCCCGCGCCGGCCCAGAGCCAACGTTCGCCCTTTCTTCCTCTTCCCTCTGCACCCCCTCGCTCCATGGCCTGTCCAGCCCATTCCGCCGGAGGAAAGCAAAGAACTCCCTGCGCCCGTCCTTGTCCTCTTGCGTATCTAGCGAGATAGAATCCTGATCCAGGTTTGCTATCTCCCGTTCCATATCAATAGGGAACCGACCCGTTCCTTCCGCCCCCCTACGAGAGAGCCAAGGGCTCTGGACCGTCCCTCCACTCTCAGCGGCGGCGCGTTCGAGCCGGTCAAGCTCCTCAGGTACAAGGGCGACCTTCGCCCGCGAGGCGCCGGGAAAGAAGACGGCGGAGCTGCGGGTGGGTGAGTACTTGGATGCTGGAAGGCAGGAGACGTTGAGAGCGCGTAGGATGACTTGCTCGACCAGTGACTGTAGCGGCGGAAAAGGTCTTCAGCTAGATACAGGGGAAATGGCGAGTAAAAACGCACGTAGTCCCCAGGATCCGCCCGATCCAGGTTGTATGGTTCTGCTAGGTTTACGTGCGGATTGGTGATGATCCTTGGATTACGCAGGATGTTCTCTGACGAACAGTGTGGCTGTATGAGACCAGGCAAGCGTGAGCGTATGGAGGGGCAAGAGACAGAAGACGTACCAACAGGCCGTGGGTGACGAAAACGTCACCTTTCTTGCCGGTTATCTAAGCCACTAGTTGGTACCTCTGTTGCAATGATTCAAAACTAGTCCGAGGACCGACCTCAACGATGCTCGCACATCTCGTTACATGCCCGTAAATTCCATCCTTCTCGAAAGGCGGGTCCACCCCTTCCGGTCGCTGCATTAACCACTCACAAAGGCCCGCGATCCCGTCCTCAGCAACCCATGTTCCGCCACCGCCAGAGGGAACATCAGAGAATAGTACTATGAGAGTGAGAGCGTTCCCCGAGGCGGTGATGAATTGGCGATACCAGTCGTTGTCGGTGTGCCAACCAGAGAGCAAGCGCGGATCGTTCGTCTTTCTCTCATCCTGTTATCGCGAGTTAGCTATGGAAGGTCGTTTGAGAGACGCATAGCACTTGCATCGGCTGTAACACCGCCGCCGTTAAAGATGAACTGGTCGCCCTGGTATCGCTCGCGTACGGCGTCGATCCTATCTTCACCCCCAACAATTTCACCTAAGATTCATGCAGGTATGTCATTCAAGTGGCATATTGGTCGGCAACCTGGTAAAGACGTACAGATAGCTTTCCATGCCCACTCGTTGAAGAAGTCCTCGTTCTTGACCTCCCTGTGCCTGGGCATCTTTGAATATTTTGGCCAGGTACTTTTGTCCTTTGGATCTGCGCCCATCCGTGTCCAAAAGTGTTCGAGGAGATAGTCGAGCGCCTCGGGCCTGCATGCGTTCTGCAGATGGATCCAGCCGTGTGTCAGGAAGTGCTGCTGGTCCTCTGGGGTGAGGGCACTGTAGGTGATCGCCATGATACGCGTTTGTGGTGGTATGTCGTAGTCAGGTACCAAGGGGTGGAGCTGTGAGATTGCCAGCAGTTATTTGATCCTGTCCTGGTGATTTCGAAGCAGGACATTAATGGACATTACACCGATGTGGGGGGATCGACTCGGGAGATCGTGCCGACGAACCGATGCCCGAGATAAAAGTCACTTAGCTGATTCAATTGTGCATACTTCTCGCTTTCATGTTAGACTTGCTTCTCAAAAGGAGGACGGACGTTCATGTCCACCCCCACGTTAAATCGATTTCCTTAATTGATCGTCCCACATTGCCCCATGCGACGTGTGGCTGTGCAGTGTGACATCTCGGAAGCTCGCGCCGGTGAGCCGAAGCCTCCCTCAGTCACCTGGCCAACCCGAACTTGTTCCATTGTTTGTCTTGCTTCTTGCTTTTCCTCCTTCTCAATGGGAATCTAGTGTATCGTTCTCTGGCCTAACAACAATAGACTTTGCTGACAAGCGCAGGTGGAACGAATGAGCACACCTCCACCGGACGTCTGCCAGGAACAAGTTCAGTTGATCCATTGATGGCCTTGATGCTCCCAGGCGACCACGCTAGGAACCACAGCCTATCATGCCGCTTTTGAATATGGCAAAAGACGGTGTAGTGTGGGGTACAAAGGAGCTAGCTCCAAGAAGGAAAGCACGATTGTGGGTGAATCCCTTTCCTCCCACCTTTCCATCCTCTGCGCCTGCATCCCATCCTGTTGGCTTGAGCCGTGACTTTGCTTCTGCTTCTGCTTCTGCTTCTGCTTCTGCCAGTGCCTTGCTGTACGACACTCAAGTTCCTTGTGTTCCTGTTCTGGTGTTCGCCCTCGCCTACTATGTCCTCGCACCATGCATCCATCCCCGAGACTTTCTCTAAGGCTAATGAGAAAGGTCTCGAAGAAGAGCGTATCGAGTATGTCAGCTCTCCCAACGGTGACGATCACCATATACACGATACCGAAGCCGTCGGATACCTCAATCCCTCCGTCGTGATCACACTTGAAGAGAACAGACGCCTTCTCAGGCTCATAAACACACGGGTCCTGCCCTGCATGATCATCTGTTACCTGGCGCAGGCCCTTGACAAAGGTGTCTTGGGCACAGCAAGCATCATGGGCCTCCAGCAAGATACGGGCATGGTTGGTCAGGATTATGCCCTTACGGTGAGCTGGATCACCACCGATGCTACAGACAGGTTTGCTCACATGCCGTTGCCCGGCTTGACTTCCATTCCCATAGAATACCATCCTGTGGATTGGCGTCATTGTCGGCGAGCTCCCCGCCAATCGACTCGTCCAAATCATTCCTCTCGCGAAGTTTGTTAGTGTCTCACTGATCTTGTGGGGCCTCGTCCTCCTCGCAATGAGCTTCTTGAGGAATGTCAAGGCAATCCTAGCGTTGCGGTTTGTGTGCGTTACTGTCGTATTACTGCAGCCGATTAGGCTGCTTTCAGCACATGTGGCTGACATTTCTCTTTTCCGCGGCACAGGCTCGGCTTCCTGGAATCGGTATCGGGCCCTGTCCTCCTTGCTATCTCTGTCATGTGGTACAAGCGGCACGAGCAACCCTTGGTCGTCTCTGGCTATCAAACAATGATCGGCGCCAACAGCGTAATCTCCGGCCTACTTGGGTACGGTTTCTATCACGTTCAGAACAGCACCCTATATGGCTGGCAGTACCTCATGATTCTCATCGCGGGTCTGTCCATTCTTATGGGTGCCTTCATCGCCGTGTGGATGCCCGACTCACCCCCTCGCGCAAAATGTTTCTCCGAAGAAGATAAAGTACTCATGGTGGAGCGTGTAAGGGCGAACGACCAAGGCTTGCGTAACACCCACTGGAACCCAGCCCAGGCACGCGAGGCATTCCGCGAGCCCCTCATTTACATGTTATTTCTTGCAATGGTGCTCAACACGCTCATCACTGGCGGACTTGGTTCCTTCTCGGCCCTGCTGATCAACCAGGCATTTGGATTCGATGTACTCGATTCACAGTTGCTCTCCATGCCCTTGGGAGTATTCAGTATGACTCTCCTCATGACCAGCAGCTATGCTGCATCCCGCACAAAGCAGACCATCTATGTCATTCTGGCGCTCTCGATCCCCAACATCGCGGGCTCGATCGTCCTTTTGACTGTGACGCCAGGGATGTCCACGCGTGCCGGCCTTCTTGTTGCGTTCTATATCATGCAGTGTTTCCAAGCCCAGTCGCCGCTAATCCTGACGGTGACCTCTCGTCCGTGTCTTGTGGCATGTCATGCTGTAACTGTAACATCTAGCTGACACTAGGATGTAGGTAACATTGCGGGACAAAGCAAGAAAGTCATCGCCTATGCCGCTACGTTCATTGGCTGGTCTGGCGGCAATGCTATTTCCTCTCAAATATTCCAGTCCCAATGGGCGCCGCGCTACATCAACTCGCTGTATATTCACTGCGGCATATATGCGCTCTTTATCATTCTTATGCTGTCCATCCGCATCATGTTGGTTCGAAGGAATCGAGAGAAAGAGAGGGCAGCTGAAGGACTGAGAGAGGGACATGGTCACCGCAAGGCGTTTGATGATTTGACGGATCGGGAGAACCCCGAATTTAGGTGTGAGCAACACGGCTGTTTGCATAATCGACTGTACTCACTAAGGCGGAAGACACACTCTAGCACATCTGAAGGAAAGGGTGTTTCTCAGCGTCAGAGCTGTTCCCAACATTACTTCTTGTGGTTGTAGGTGGTGTATGTATGACGTGTTTTGCACCGCCCTGGACGAATCAACAGAAAAACAGCGGCACCCGCGGCGCCACTGACCACGTTGTGCAGAGTGCCTGTTCGGTAACCAATCTTACGTGCCAGGGGTGGCCTGATGAAGTTTCTGAATCATGGTCGCGGCACAGATCACTGTTGCAGGGCAACTATGTACAATGACGTGTTGGAGTTACTCAACCGGCTGTGAGGGGTGCGGTTCACAGCGGACTTCTGCCATCCCTTATCGGCTGAGATCGTGGACCGGTATAATCAGCCAGAAGTATTGATTCAGTTATGGCGGATGTGCTTGTCAGAGTTTACATATGTACAGGTGCGTTTGAATGACACTGGCATTGAGGAGTTCGCGGTCGGCATAACTACTTCGTTAAGATATAGCACCACACCAGAAGATATACAACTTATGCGTGTCCTTTCTTGACATGCTCGAACTCTACCTTCGGATCTGACTCATGGCTCGGCGTGACGAACGCAACGCTATGCGCATTTCGCATTTGCTCGAATTCCTTCTCTGCTGCAAGCTGCCTCTCGACTCCTTCTTCACCATCGAACACAAGAACGCACTCCTCAAGAGAGAGGCCCTTGGTCTCCGGGAAGAACAGGAACATGACGAGACTGTACACGGCGTCGAGAACGGCATAGATGATAATGTAGCGCCATCCCAGCTCAGGCATCGCGACGGGATTTGCGAAGGAACTGATATAGTACACAACTTGCTGGCCGAACTGCCACATCACGACGATCTTGGATCGAAGGGCGAAGGTGGACATTTCTTGGATGTACGGCTCGGCAGCGGCGTCGAAGACGTGAATCCAACCCTGGAACCAGAAGACCATGGCCACGATTCCGTATCCAAGACCAGTGTTGCTGGAGTTGTCCATAAGCGCACCAAGAATGGTCCAGACTACCAAAGAGGCGGCGCAAAGGGCCATCGGCAAGATGAGGACTAACCGACGGCCAAAATAATCGACGTATAAAAAGGCTGATATACCGAAGAGGAAGGCGCAAATGTTGACACCTCCATTGAGAATAAGTTGCTCTTTGCTATTCGTGATACCGACGCTGTTGAGTACCAACGGAAGGAAGTAGGATATGAGGTTGGAGCCGGTGAACTGACGAGCGAAAGGGAAAAAGCACATGATGTAGAATCTACGGCGACTTCCCTTCGTCTTGAAAAACTCCATCCACGAGTAGGCTTTCGCGATACTATCAGCTTCGATCTGAGAGTCGATCTCTGCGACTTCGAGCTCGACCAATGGAGAATCAATGTCGCCATTCGCATGGTGCTTGACCAAGACGTCGATCGCTTTCTGTCTCTTGCCTGTGGCAATGAGCCATCGGGGTGATTCCGGGCAGAACAACAGGCAGATGAATTGCAGAAGTGCAAACACGGCCTGAAGCACCAGAGGAAGACGCCAACTCCAGGTAGTGCTGTAAGCATAGGTGGCGTACGTGACCCACGCCGCAACGATACCCCCAAGTGGGTAAGAGGGGGCGAACATGGTCTGTACCTGCACACGCTGGCTCGGATGCGAGAGTTCCGCCAGCAGACTTGAGCTAGCAACTTGTTGAAGACCACAACCAAAGCCGACCAGAATGCGGGCACCTAGGAACATGCCGAAGTTGGCGGCTGCCGCTCCGATGACGGAGCCGATGATGACGAGCCAACAGCCTATGCCCAAAGGAATCCGGCGACCGAACATGTCACAAAGAAACCCAGCGATGAGCGTGGACACACTCTGGCCAATGGATAGAGCGACATTCAAGACGCCGAGATTGGCGCCGGCCGGGTGATTGAAGTAACTGGTCCAGAGCGGGAGGGATTGAAGACCGTTCAGCAGGGAGCCATCGTAGCCACCAGTGGCTTGGGAGAGGATGGAACTCAGGAGGGCGAAGTTCAGTCTCCAAAGGTACCAATAATTCCACCAACCCTTTCGAGGAGGTAGAACATCGGCGATACGGCGTTCGAAACTGGTTGGAGCATGGCCGACCATCGTTGACCTTCGAATACTCGAGTAACTGATCCGTTTAGCGAGATCGCGAATGTGGGCGATTGACACAGAACGAAGAGGTAGAATCGCGGTAGGCTCTCTTCCATTATAGCTCGCGTTCAGCTCGTGGTTGAGGAGATCATGGGGTGTGCTTACAGTACTATTTGCATTTATCTCGTCGGCTGACAATGGAAGAGCTTTTACCACGGCCCCGTGATACGGCGGTGTGATATGGCGGGCCGGACGGCGTGGAGGTTCTAACGGCGCTCAGGGCAGGGCGTGGAGGGTCGGCCAATTCAATCCGGGTAGCCGCCATATTGCCAAGGTGAAATCAAAGCTTCTAAGTTTGAAGACTGCTCCACATTAGATGGGTGAACATGAACCGACTGGCTATGAGGAGCAATGTTCGGACCGGCAAGTCAAGTTAACTGTCACCCTCCAACTTTCTGTGTTCATGGTGGCCAATCAATCGTGGTCGATAGCGATCAAGGTGCGTGCCGTTGAATACGTCCGCTTCTGTGCAACTTACCCCGCTTTACCCCACAGAGGTCAAAACACCTTTGCTTCCGATCTACAACTCTTGTTTCAGTCTGATATGGAGGTAGAAAAAGTCACGTGAATGCACATTCAGTTTATCCGACCATCAGTTTTCACAGAATTTGATTCTCTACTCGATACTGTGTCATCACAATAGCGCCCATTGCTCTTCTCGTCACAACCCTTGCCCACGGTCTTCATCGACGTCAACAACGGGTATCTTTGGAGAACGAATCTTCTATAACCACTGTAAGCGATCAAGAGACACTTCATACTCGCCTTGGCCGAAACCATCACGCAATCATCACGGCGATATTCTGGAGTCTGCCAAGGTCGCTTCCTCTCGATATCAAGGGCATCAGCCTTTTCTGGCCATGACCGAAGCCACCCCGACTCTGATAAAGCAAAGCTCTCGTTCCGTCATGGGCGGAAGAACTGGGGCATAAAAAGATCCCAACTAAACATAAGTGCCCACGCACCGCCGTCACCGCCGTCCTAGTCATACTACAAGGCAAGCCAGCCGAGGCGCGCTCTGCGTCGACAGGTGAGCCAGCTCATCCTGGAGCTGGCGAGAGCAAGGGACGAAGGAAATGGAGGCAAAAATGGAGTTGGCCGGGGAGGGAAATGACGATCTGTCATTGCAACCGGCGTTACACAATCCAGCGACGTGCTCGCCGCTCTGAATATCATACGTATTCATTTGACTGCCTCGGCGGAGCTTAGCGGCACGCGAGACCGAGGAGGGGCTGTTGTACAAGTAGTACATTAGCATGTAATACACGTACTAACGCTAACTTGCCACCATTGGTCCAAGCCCTGACCATTGGGCTGTTTGGCGATACTATTTGGAGATCGACGCTGATGGACAAGTAAATAACAATGGTAACTGATAATATACAAACTGATACCAAAGAGAGCCAGAACCAGCCTGATAGTGTCGGGCTTCCCTTCTGCGGAGAGATCCGCTCCGCTCAACCCCAAATTACGGCCCTCCTCATCAGCACCCAGAGCGTGCCCCTAACGATGGCGAACAGCCTCCTCAACCTGCGGAAGCCCAGCATCGTGTCCAGGCCGAGGAGAATCTTGACGGGTATCCTCCATGTTTGCCTGAGCATCTGCATGATGAAAGCAAGTGCTTCAACTGCCGTGTGCGGCAGGTGCCTTTTGTCGATTTCGGAGGTGCGCGTCGCAGGACGGGCCGGAGGCACACCATCTCCTGATCGCTCGATCTCCACCATACCTCCCGCTGCCAACTCACTCCTGCCATCCGCACCCGCCATGCTCGCAGCGCCCAATTGTCCCATCCCAAGCCGATAGAGTTCTGCCTTTCTTCCTTCCCTCCTCACAGCTCTCGCCAACGCCTGCACTTCCTCTCTTGCCTTCGCAAGCTCCAGGCTTAGCTGGGTCACCTGTCGGCGTAGAGCATCGACTTCCTTACCTTGAGCGGCTAGAGTGGTGGCGTTGAAGGCGGCGCGTGATCGCTCCTGCTCGATGTCGACCCTTGTGTGCTCTAGCTCTTCTTCCAGCAACAAGGGGAGGGAGACTTCGCCTCGCCAGAGCTGGAGGAGGTGCTTGATGGGCCGGACGCTGGCAGCGAGTACGAAAAGGCGGATGGAGAAGGTCGGTAAGGGTGGGAGAAATGTGAGGGAGCGTGAGACGACGGTGAGGAGAAGACCACCGAGCAGGGGTGAGACGAGGGTGAGGAAAAGGAGAGGAAGGGTATGCTGCGCCGATGTCGGCGTGGTACGTAGCGCTGTGATGTACAGTTCCCATGGGGCTGGGGGTATCACGGACAGGATGTTAGCCGAAGCCGATATATGCGCGAGGTTGTCACTAGAGTAGAATGAAACGCACCATGCACCAAGACGCCTAAGTACCACCACAGCAGCAGTACGTAAAACAAGTCCGCGACGAGCTCTCCACGGCCGAAGAAAAGTGAGGTGAGAACCGGAAGGAGAGCGAAGACGAGGGGCGTGTGGGGGTGGTCCCAGGAAGGGAATGCTGGCTGTTCTTCGATGATCTGCGTTGATGATCTGCGATGAGGCGCGGTTGGACCGGATGCAGCGGACGCCATTGAGGGTACAGAAGGGACAGCAGTTGGGATAGACGCAGGTATGGAGGAAGGCTGAGGGGCCAAGGAGGGAACACCCCGGAGATGCTCGACGGCCACACCTCTCGCAAGTTCTGTCCGCCCCAGAGCAGAGCCGGCTTTGCCTGTCGGATTCGCGTCCGCGCTGGGTACACTTGCCGAACCGACGAGAGCGCTGGCCGGTGTCTTCATTTGCGGGACACGACCTCCTGGCACAGGAGGGTTTGATGCGCCCCCACGACCTGTCGTCGCGTGATGAGAAGACGACGGCAAGCCGCGACCGCTTCGTTTCCGTACACTGGGGGTGGAGGGGCTGCTGAACGCGCCTTGAGCCTGACTGGGTTGACGGAGACTACCGCTCGCCGACGCCAAGCTGGGTTGTTGATGTTGTACGGGTATTGAGGCGCGAGGGGCGAGTGTTGCTCCCGACACATGGGGAAGTCTGAGGTGGGGGATGTTGGGAAAGGAGATGGAGGACATGGGGGGAGGGGATGATGGTCGTCGTCGTTGTCGTCGTCGTCGTCGTTGTCGTCGTCAAAGAGAGGGAAGGGAAGGTGGTGGTCAGGATGGAAGACGCGACGACGGTGCGCGGGGAGCGAGTAGCGCGTACAACACCAAATCGGGAAATGATCGACAAGGTAAGACATGTGATCGACGTCATCGTCGTCATAGACACTTTGTTCGAGTCTCACTTGCCCATACAGTACTTTTTCATTGTTCCAACCGTATTCACCGAGACACCTTCTCAATCCGCCCTCGCCATCCTCGAACCTCAACCTCTCCAACCAGCAACCGGGCTGACAATCACCAATACTCTAGGAGCACAGGCACCAATCAGAACATGGTGTGGAGATACGCCTCTCCACAGATATGCATGCATAAGCTGTCAGATGAACACATAGGACGGGATATCCTACCCGTCGTTATCAAAGCCATGGCACATCTCATGATCAATGAACTGTCATCGCTATCGGGGGATATTGCCTACCAAAGATATAAGGCATATGATATGTTCTAACCCCCTCATCATTCAGATTGGGCTGCACAACATCAGACCGACGGGATGACAATGCTTTGATAAAGGATGTGGGCGGTGCTCGATGAAGGCAGAAGGAGAAAATCTGTAAGGGTCTAGCCAGCAAGTGATAAGACTTGGTTATCCCTCTGCTGACGGATTAGCGCGCAAGAATGGACCAACCATATTTCAGCGCTCGATAAGCGATCCATATGCACGTGGAAATCCTCTCGCATTTAATCAGAACAGAATGTATGTCACGTACAATTTTCTCGATCTTCTACTTCCCACTCGAAGCACACCAAGGTCCAAGGTACACCAACTACAACTCACTTGAAACCAGGGCTGAACATGGCCAACGCAACGAGCCCCCCAGAAGAACCTGAAATCAAGACGCAGCAACCAGTACCTGTTGACGCGTCCACAATCAAGATCAGCGCGATCCCGGTCAGGGGCGAGCAACTGAGGGACAAGCTTGTCAACTTGCGGCAGAAGCTCACAACTCGCCATGGCTGGTTAGGAGATTACGATTTTGTCTGGCTCTGCTCGCCAACTCTGCCATTCACCCAGGCGGCTAGGCGCAAGAATCCTCCCTTCTTCCCTTTGCATGCTGACCTTCCCCTTGTCCTTGCCATCATCTGCGGTTTCCAGCATGCACTCGCAATGCTAGCAGGCCTCATTACTCCCCCTATTATCTTCTCGAGTGCCCTCAATCTATCTGGCGAATTACAGGCGTACATGATAAGTGCTTCCCTGATTGCATGCGGTGAGCAGTTATCCTTTGGTACTTCTGCACAGAGTGCTTACATGGATACCTACCAGGCATCCTCAGCTTGGTCCAAATGTCCCGTATCCGCCTGCCAGGCGGATACTTCATCGGCACCGGGTTAATCACAGTGGTCGGTACTTCGTTCGCTACTCTCTCGACCGCCTTCGCAATCTTCGACTCGATGTACGCGAACGGCACCTGTCCCGTGATCCAGAACGCAGACGGAACCACGACGAACGGGCCTTGCCCAGACGCGTACGGCTACCTGCTAGGCACGTCGCTCATCTGCTCCTTCCTTGAAATGGGCATGTCCTTCGTCCCCGTCCGCATCCTACAGCGTATTTTCCCTCCCGTCGTTACAGGCACAGTGATAGTGATGATCGGTGCCTCGCTGATCGGTACTTCCGGCGCGCCCAACTGGGCCGGAGGATCAAATGACTGTGCCAGCCGGCCGACGAGTGGGATCTTCCAGCTCTGCCCGACCATTTTTGCCCCGAAACCGCTTCCGTGGGGCAGCCCGCAGTTCATGGGTCTTGGGTTCCTCAGCTTCGTCAGTATCGTCCTCACCGAGCTGTTCGGTAGTCCCTTCCTCAAGAACGCATCCATCATCGTCGGCCTTCTCGTAGGATGTATCGTGGCTGGTGCATGTGGGTACATCGATGGTAGCAGTATCCAGACAGCTCCGGCGATCACTTTCCTCTGGGTTCATACTTTCAACATCCGGGTGTATGCGCCCGCGATCCTGCCTATGCTTGCCGTTTATATCTCTCTGGCGATGGAGGCGATTGGAGATATCGCGGCCTCGGCTGAAGCGTCCCGAGTAGACGTTGAAGGCCCAGAGTTCGACTCGCGTATTCAAGGTGGTGTCTTGGTATGCCCATATGATCATCTTGGGGGTTTACAAGCTAACACTAGGCCAGTCTGACGGTCTTGGAGGGTTCTTCTCTGCCCTCTTTACCGTCACCCCCCTCTCTGTCTTCGCGCAAAACAATGGCGTCATCGTCATCACCCGCTGCGCAAACCGGGGCGCCGGCCGCTGGTGCTGCTTCTTTATTATCCTCTTCGGCATCCTAGGCAAGCTCTCCGGTGTTTTCCTTGCAATCCCTAATTCTGTCTTGGGGGGAGTGACGACTTTCTTATTTGCAAGTGTCGTCGTTTCGGGAATTCGTGTACTGTCATATTTGCCATGGACGAGAAGAGACAGGTTCATCGTTGCTGCCGCTTTTACTTTCGGGATTGCAGACCTTCTCGTACCATCGTTCTGGACATATCTCTTTCTCAGCATCACCAATGCCAGCCCAGGGCTGCAGGGGCTCCTTGACTCTATCAGCATCATCCTCACAACGCCTTGTGAGTCCTCTCGAAACATGGTCGAAGTGCCCGCTGATAATTTAGTCCTCATTGCTGGCATTGTTGCTCTCGTGCTGAACCTCATCCTCCCCATCGAGATCCGCGATCCCTGCGAGGTCGACGGGAAAGTACCTCCCGCACGCTGCATAGCCGACATTGAGGCGCATGCAACGGACAACGAAGCAACGGAGGAAAAAGAAGTTGTTGTTTAGTAAGCTTTCACGTTCAACGAAGATCAGAATCAAGACGGCATTGTTGTACGAAATGTGGAGAAACTGCATAATTGGACTCCATATCATCGAAGCTGGTCCGCAACAATTTTGACTTCTGCTGGCGATGTCTAGACATCGACGAGGCAACCATTCTCAAGAGCACCCTCTGGACCCGCAATTTTTTCTAGACGGAGAACTGCGCACTGATGCCGGCAGGGACATTTAAATAAATGGGTTGGGATGCACGGAGTTCGTGCCTGAGGCATAGATGATATGAGAACATGGAAAGGTCTGAAATGACGTGTTCCTGCATATCAAACCCAGTGCATGGGAGCTCTCGGGCTGAGTCTATCAATGCCCGCTTACCCAACTCCAGAACCCCAAAGCCTTATTACCCCTCCCTTCTCTCGCCTTTCCCGTTTCTCGGGCTCCTCGTCCTGCTCTGTCCCGTTCCATCCTCGGCGTCTGAGCTCTTGGCTTTTCTCTCAGGGACTGTTCTTCGCTTGCGCGAAGTGACCGTCTGAAAGAGCGATCAGTCGAGAACACTGGTCTGTATGTCATCTTACCTTGCTGCAGCTAAGCATCGTCGCACCCCTCTTCACGCTCAATTCCTCTTCCTCTTCGTTGTAGGACCCCTCACGTACGACAACCTCGGACTTTGTATTCTTCCTTTGGTGTCGCCCAGAGCTCACAAGCCGCTCGATGGGCTTCTGCTGAAAACGATCAGTATGGATCGAGGTTCTGGAAAGGCATAGGGCAGACCTTTGCTACTTTCCTCTGTAAGACTAGTTCTTCCTCCGCATTCTTTTCCTCCTCTACATCCGGTTCTTTGACCTGATCCACGTGTACCGAGAATCACCATACTGCTGCCAACGCACCACGAGACAATACAGACCTTGCGTTTCCCATTCTTTGGCTTCATCCCCAGCCCCTGGCCTTCGCTGCCCTTGCTCCACTCAGACTGCTCCCTTGCCAGCTCCTGCACCTCCTCAACGTACGCACTCGTTCTCCCACCGACTGTGATCCATCGTATCGTCCCTTCCCGCCCGTCGGGTAGGAGGAGCTTCCCCGTGCTCTTTTTCCCTTTGCCCTATAGCATTGTCAGTATGCGATGTATGACTAAGCGCGGCCAGCCCAGATATTACGTAGAAAGGGGAGGACTGAGGATATTAACGTACCCAACGGAATCGAAATAACCAATCGCTGGGGAACCTGCTCCCATCCGAGTCCACCCCAACTGCGACTTCGCACACCCACCTCACTTTCTCCCACACTCTCTTTACCTCCTCTGGTCGTAACTCGTTGGCTCTCGTTTCAGGATGAATACGGGCATGGAAGAGAACCTCATCCGCCACCCAGTTGCCCACGCCGGCGGAGAAAGACTGGTCTAGAAGGAGTGCTTTGATAGGCATGTTGCGTTTGAGCATGAGGGAAGAGAAGGTGGGAAGGGATGGCATTGACAGGAGTGGGTCGAATCCCAAGTCGATGATGGGTGGCTGGGCGCATGGATTACTGCGTAGACGGATCCGGCCAAGACGGCGTGCATCGGTGAAGGCGACGTGAACAGCAGGGCCTGAGGGAGGTGTGACATGTATGATAAACTGAAAGAGAGGTCCGCAAGGTACATCGCCCCGGAGGAGAGAGAGAGACGCACTTTCATGAATCTCGGCGGCCATGCACTGGCGTCTTTTGGCCGGACACGGTACCATACCGGCTCTTGCCCTTGAAGCTGGATCATTCCTGTCATCCCCAGATGAAATACGGGATGTCGGGATTCTTCTGTAGGCGCATCCAGTTCTAGCCAGAAGACTTTGCCGTATCTGTGAGCGTTTAAGACGGTGCGGTTCGTGAGTTCTTTTGCCTGTGAGGAGAGGGTGAGTGGTGGGAGGTGCGCAGTGCAAGCACGAGACGCACGAACTCTTCATGTGAGATGTCGGAGTAGACAATATTGTCTTCTATAGTGTCTACTGCGGTTATGAGTCCATCTTTGAGATATTTCTGAAGCAGTCTAGTTGCACGTTCTGCTTCTGGGAGTTCTGGCATGTTACAAGGAAAGGAAAGAGGTGGTGAAGTGGACTCTCCAGCCCTGTACAGTCACCAATGCCCGCTTTCATTCTTCACGCACGCCGGGGTCAGTACCTATATAGTTTCATCAGCTTTCCTCTTATCATATCTCATTATACGACCGTTAGAAGATGGACCCGCCCCAATACACCTTGCTATGTCGACTAAAACTGTCACGAGAAAAGCATTTCCTTAGCCGAATTCTCACCCGATGGTAACCTGCTCGCTTCTGCTTGTTAGTCAACAGAACCTCTGTCCCATGAAATCATTGTTGATACCCATACCCGAAGCCGATGATAAAACGTGCAAAATCTGGTCCCTACGAGGCAATCTTCTAGCCACCATGTGCGGGCATACAGAAGGTCAAAACTGTGGCAGGTCATGGTAAGAATGCGATTGCTGTAATAACCTGAACATGACTCTACGCTCATTGCTCAACAAGGCGCATTACGAACACTTAAAGGGCATTCAACCTACGTGATGTGCGTGCGCTACGGTCCGCAGGGCAGCCTGCTGATCAGCGGCGATCACGAAGGCTTTATGAAGGTTTGGGATGTCAAAGGTATGTCTCAAGGCAGATTTCCTGTGACTACCCAGACCTGTTCCACAAGAAAATGTCCGAAGACAGTCAGCTCGCACGCTGATGCTGTGACAGCCGTACACTTCAGTCGTGATGGACGTCAAGTTTTGTCCTCGTCCCGGGACGGAACAATGTGCGTAAGCTCGATCTATTTTTAGTGTCTTACTGAGCAATATCCTTTGAGAAGCCGTCTGCGGGACAGCAGTACATGCGCCTGTCTGAAGACGATTAATGCCGAAGCATCAGTCACATCAGCGAGTTTTTCTCTGAATGAAAAATACATATTGGCATCAATCGTCGATTCCTCGGTCCGTCTCTGGGAGCTCAGCTCTCAAAGGCTGCTAAGGACGTACTCCGGGCATACTAAACAGGACAGCACATTTTTGTTGTCTTGTTTCTCAGTCATGGTGGGCAAGTGGATAGTGAGCGGTAGTGAGGACAATCAACTCTACCTGTGGAATCTGCAGACACGACAGGTGGTACAAACTCTGAAAGGGCACACTGGTAAGACTTTCACGATATCCCCTTGCCGTTTTCTGCTGACTTCCGACATGCTCATCCGACGCTAAATCTAATAGAGTCGGGACCACTGGATCCCGACAACAGCCTGATAACATGGAAGGATGAGACATAGTGAACTCTCCACTTCATGACTGAGTGTGCTCAGGTCAAGGGCAGGATCTTGTAACCGAAATACCTGCCGGCTATCATACAGTGCACCCCATATCCGTAGTTCAGCGGTGATTGTCATCGTATCTCCTGCGCCGGACAATGCCGCAATCCATGAGCATGTTGGCATGTTGGCATACTCCCAAAGCAGTGCGAGGGCATTGGAATTGAGGTGTTCCCTGTCCGCGCTAACCACGAGAACCTGCACCCGAAGCGTTAGTAAAACGTGCTGGGCTACAAGCCTGGGTTTCAGAACAGGTCAGCGTGCATATTGAAATCAAGACAACGTGTGGCTCTTACTGCGGAGGCGCGAGGCCCGTATCCAACTGAATCAAGAAACAACGTGATACACTGGTTGCTCAGTTTTGGATCACCACGCCATAAGACTGGCTCTTCGCGTAGCGCGGGAGATATGAGAATCGGCTTGCTGATTGCAAATGATATTTTGGACTTCACGGCGTCTGTCCAAACCGGATGGTCGGGTGGTACGGCCGCGTCAGTTGGGCGGAAAGCGCCGCGATCCGGCCCACAGTTCGCATGTACGGGGTGCGGTTGGAGGTGCGTGCTGAGGAGCGCCTGGGGCGCGGCATCGCTCACAACTCTTTCATGCAGCAGCCTTAACTTCACCCATGTTGCGACAGACGGTCTAGTACTTGACCATTATAAGTGCACGCGTCAAACCGGTTGAGCAAATCCACATACCTTGTGCTGGCGCAAACAGTTTGCCAGCACAGCGAGACGGCTCGACGGGAGCCAACCAGTGTGGCAACTTATGACCAAACTGAGGGGCAACCGTATCTCACCCGCGCTCAAGTTCTCCCCACCTGTCACAGTCCTCCTGCCAATCGATCATATATCTCTTGTGACCTCCGTCTCCGCCCTCAAGGAGTCCTCCCCCCCCCGCTCCCCCTTGAACATGTCACGGCAGCAGTCGAGCAATCGCTGCTGTCGGTACGCATGGCCAGTCAACTGGCTCAGGCTGGAGCTCCTATGGTTGAAGGTGGGTGAATCACCTGAAGAGCAAGGAGATCTGGGCTGGGGTGGAGGCTGGGCTTTCGAGAGGTGTATGGTGATCAGCGTTGTTGTCGGGCGTGGTTGGCGGCATCCGCCGCACTGCCGTTGAGAGGTGTTGTACTGCTATGCATAATCCTGTCTGGGTATATGATATCAGTTTTGATGTGAGAAGACTAAGCGGGAATGTAATACAGCGCGAGTACTGGGTGAGATGCGGTTGTCTTTCGGAGCACCGCATAAGTACGGTTAATCTCCCTACACTGTGTACAGAATACAAGTATCTCCATATGTAAATGTACAATTCGATCGAAGTACTGCCCTTGTGAATCCTGCATTGTGCGGGGGATGCACCTTGTAGCGGTCAGGAATTTAGTGACAATGTGTCGACACATGAACACCCCCTCTCACTCCCTCAGATCTGACGGACGCCATATGCTCGGCAGCATGGGCCTGGGCCTCTTCTTCTACTAGATCAAGGTCATCGTACGTGATCCATGGGTGGCCGTCCGCATCGTGAGTATCGGCGAGGAGCTGCAGAGCCAAGCGTATAAAGATGCGGCAAGTGAAACCCTCCGGAAGTGGGGCGGGGGGGTCCTGCACCATGATCGGTTTGATTATCTTTTCTAGTACTTCTACAGGAGCATATCAGCAGGCATTCCGCGAGGTGGTTGAATGGTCGTGCCCGACTCACCTGGATTCATATACCGCCCAACACGCACAGCAGTGAGTGCGAACGCGAACCTAGCGGGAGTCCATCCAATGTTTCGCTCGTACATCCAGCGTCCAGCACGCCCAACTGCATGAAACCCATTGTTCTGCCGCTCGCCGTCAAAGTCGTACAGGTACCAATGGTAGCCATCCTCGGGGCGATCGCCACGCCAGCACAACACTAGATAGAGACCAGCATTGAGGACATCAACGGTGGGCATGACGAGCGAGGTAAATGCTCTAACGGAACAAGCACTTTGTTATACAATGACATCCGAACTGATCAACGGCGTCGTGCACGTGGTTGTGGCAATGTTTCCATGTAACCTGTTGATACAATAGTGTCAATAACACCGCGTCAGGCTGTGCGTTGGTGATTGCTGTTATTTTGGGATTTGTGTATCCATAAATTGCGTAATCTACAATTGCATCCAACTAACAAAAGAGAAAGAAATAATATCAGCTACAAACGATTATCTTCTAATCCTACAGAGTCAGGACTTGAGACGTGCTAGTGCTGGTGAAGCATCATCAAAGCGAACGGGGCGACAACGGCGCAACTATACCTCCTCCCATGCTCTCACCCCATCCTCCCACACATCGCGCATCACCCACCCCTCCCTGCCGTCCCTACACAGTGCACATTCCACCCTCGTTCCCCCAGGGGCCACCTCCACTCCACCAGCACGGCTCCTGACCGAGCCAACCAAGCACTCGGGGTGCCACGCATGCTCGCAAGCCGGTTCCGCGTCGGGATCGAGTTGAGTCAGGAGGTGGATTTGGAGCGCTTTAGGCTCCCCTGCTGGGTGCTGTGCGTACGAGGGGTTGGGGAGCGCATGCAAGCAGCCGGGATCGGCACATGTCCACCCCTGCTCATGCTCCCGCATCACCACGCTTTCCCGGAGGATCTGCCCACTTGGTCCGAGGGGTAGATTCCACTTTCCGGCCTTACGCGCTTCCTGGCTCAGGTAGGGACTGTACCGTCCTCCTTGGGGAGGAGGGGTAAGTGTCTGTGACTCTGGGTCGAGGTCGAACCTGCATGTGGGGCATGTGGTGTGTTCCCCTAGCCAGGGGAAAAGACATCCTGCGTGGAATGGGTGGTGACAGGGAAGGGCTAGAATTTCCGCCTGCGGAAAGGGACAAGGGGGGATATGGTTTTGCCTTGCCTGGGCTTGGGCTGGTGCTTGCGAGTCCTGCGCAGGAGGGTCGACGGCAGGAGCATCTCCAAGCCGTTCAAAGCAGACAGGACAGCGCTGATCTTCGCCTTGTACTCTCTGGAAGCGGGAGAGGAGCTCGGGCTCGACTTGCTCCAAAGCGCGCATGAGGAGTGCGCCGCGGGCGTAATCGGGCTCCTTCTCTTGCGGGAAGAACCAGGGTGGAAAGAAGGGGATGAACCATTCTCCTGCCCCTCCCCCTAACCCTGCTTCTGCTCCTGGGGCGGCGCCAGGTATAGGGAAAGGATTAAATGTAGGAGGAGCAGTAGCCATCCCTGGTATTGGGACGGAAGGACCGACAAAGAGCGTAAAGACCATCCCCCCTGGGATCTGCCAAGCGTGGATATGGGCAGTGCCCTCTTGGGTGGGTTGAGGTGGGGGTTGTTCAGCTGCGGGTGCCGTGGGGAGTGCACCTGGCATGTTGGGTTCGGGTGCTGGTGCTGTTACGAGGGGGGAAGCAGGTGTAGGCTGGGGTATAGGCGTAATTGTCGATGGTACGTCGGTAGACTGAGGAGGCTGAGGACCAAACATGGGCCTCGAAGTCTTGTTACTCACCTCCTCCATCGCAGGCTCTACGTTCTGCTCCGTATTCCCTCCCTCTGGCTGAATCTGGGCAGGCTGCTGCTGCTGCTGTGGGTGCAACTGCTGTGCCATGCCAGATATAAAATGAAGAAAAGAAAAAGGGAATCTCTGTGTATTCCCGTTATTATCGTTATTATCGTTGTTGTTCGTTGTGTGGTCGTCCATGGTAAAGAGGTGGGGCAGTCCTGGCCGCTATGGCCCGCCCTCTGCGGTGCTTATACACCAACTTGTCTCACACGACCATTAACTGGAATGTGCCAGAACCTCGACAGCCACGCGGAGGCTGTGCCGTCACGTGTTTACCTCTGTCATCAGGGCAGGTAATTCCCCGGATGGCCCCTTTCGGAGGCAGGGTCCCTGTGACCTCTGTAGCCTGCACCTCGTGCATAGAAAGTGTCACGAAACCGGAAAGCTCTTGCAGAGATATCCACCATAACTCGTGGTCCATGCCTCTTACCGGGTTTCCCAAAGCGTGCTTCGAAGTGTCCGCAGTGAGGCCGATATCGTGCTCATCGCTTCTTCCGCAGATGATTCGACCCTCAGGCTCGCACAAACCCGCGCTTGAACATCTTAGGTCTCGGAGCTTTCCGAATGTCCTTTTTCAGCGCACTTCGGATCTGCGCCTGCTCCTCAGTCTGCAATTACCCGCGGGACACTTCTACCCTAGTCTACTTCTGTAAAGAGGCGCGATTTTGGTGCACTGGAGAATCAGGATGACTCCCCCAATACCCGGCTGCGCTCTCCCTCCCCGCTGGCTACTCGATATCCTTCACCACATGAACCTCATGTTTGCAACAGAATGGAAGAATTTGTCAACCAAAGTAGCCGTGCTTTGTAACCAAGTACTCGTCATTCCTTCGAGAGAAGCATTATCTAGGCTCTCAGCGTCTAATCTGCGTTTCCTCAAAACCCTCCTCATCTAGGCACCTGCCTGCTCCTCACATCTCCCTCACTAGCCCTCAACATCACAACACTCTTCAACCCATGTATACCGACCACTAATCTGACAACAAGTACCAAGCTCGCACACTCGACCGCAAGTTCGCATCACCATCTCATGCCAGCACGCTCCCCCAAAGAAGAGAGCAACATCCCGCTCCCGCAGCGCCTGCCCGTTATTCTGCAACAACAACTACAACCTGCGCGAACAAAAATAACCCATTACTGGCTGAAAACGAACAAGCTTGCACCTGACATAGTTGTCACTCACTTCGCATCCTTGGCGCGAAGTCTCCCATCGCCGCGCCCCTCCCCCGTCCTACATTCCGTTCCTATCGCCTCCTTTGTTCAGCCTCCCGTAACACCAGATACACGCCGGCAGGATGAGCTGTATCGCATGTGATGTGCGGTACGTGCTTGCTCTTCACGCTTCCTTGTATTAACAGACGTACTCACACGACTTTAAAACAGGCGCCTGCCGTGCATATTCAAGCCGGCTCATACGGCATGCGACATGTGTGAGACTCGGGGAATTCACGTACGCCCCTTGTCCCGTCATCCATCGGACTGCGCTAATCCCATCTTATTACGCAGTGCGATCCACTCGGCATACGCGGCAACCACATACTCGAAATGTTCCCTCCTTCCCTCCGACTTCCAGCCACCGTCGTCCAAATCAAGCCCGACATGCACGTTACTGGTGGGGCATTCGGGGATGTGTATCGTGTACCTTGGACTATTGCGTCCCACGGGGATGGGGTGCGAGCAACGGGATGGTGGGAAGAGGGGCGGACGGGTGCAGTTGCAGTCAAACTCCCTCGTTCCTCTGTTCTCAACCGACGGAAGGTTCTCTGCGTACGTCCCTCACTTCCAGCACCGTAATGGACCTAAGCTGACTACATGCACCGTCCTCAGCGTACTATCCGTGAAGCTCTCACATGGTCAATCATTGAGCACGAGAATGTCATCCCTTTGCTCGGGATTTCTCTCGCCCTCAACTCCAACGGCTCTGCCTCGTCTCGGAATGGATGGCCAACGGGAACGTGATGAAGTACCTCTCGGTGCACCCGGAAGCGGACCGAGCTAGCATGGTCCGTCACCGTGTTGTAATCGTGGTCGAGTTTGCGAAGCTGACGGTTCACGCGATGAACAGATGACGGGAATTGCCAAAGGACTCAAATATCTGCACGAACTCGTCCCTCCTATCGTTCATGGGGATATCAAAGGCGTATATCTCCTCTCCTCTTCACGATTGTGCTTGTTGACATCCTCTATCAGAACAATGTACTGATATCCCCGACACTTCAGCCCCTGCTTTCAGATTTCGGCCTCTCCTCCAGTCTCCACCACCCTTCCGCTGCCTCCCAATCGTCTAATTCTGCGCACCCTTCGCTCACCTTCTCTGGGTCGGAGATGCTCGCCTACCTCTCCCGTCTCCTGGGTTCACCCGAATGGCGCGCTCCACCCCTCTCCACACTGTTCTTCGTTCTGTCTTATGAATCCGCCGGCTCGCATCCGCGAGAACGAGCGCGCTTCTGCCCTCCACCAAATCCAAACCAGGCAGAGGAAGCGCCTACAAATGGAAGTTAAGAAAGCTGGCAGGGGAAGGGCTTACTATGTGGTCAACGATGATGTAGCATTCGTACAAATGCCACGAAATGCTGGATCAAGAGTGCGTGGGCCGAGACCTAACCCAAGCACACAGCGTCTGGATGCTGCTACTTCAGCGAGCCCAGCCTTGGGTCCTGTCAAGGCTAGAGTGAGGCATGGAAGGTCATGTTCTGCGGAGCTCTCTAAGCGGCCCGACAAGAGGAACTCAGCGGCACCTCGAACCGGCAGCAGTGTGGCAACCGACCAAGGAAGCAAGCCAGCGAACCTGATTGATGTCTCAAAGAAGCCGGAGGCGAGGAATACAGCATCCAGGGCTGCCGCTGGCGGGACCTTGGATCTCGGCAAGAGGACAGAGAAGGGTGCTCGATCTGCAAATCGGCCACTTCCAGTCCGCCCTGCTCGCCCCCCCGCCGATATCCAGCGACCATTGCTGCGGCTCGTCACCGAATCGGAGTTTGTCATCCCAACGAGCGAGAATAGTCAGCAAATTCATTCTCCGTACTCATCCCCTGTTGGTCGGACCAGCTACCGTGTGATGTTACCTGTTTCCGCACACCAGCGGCAGCAGCAGCCTTGTGTTAGCACTACGCTGATGTCTCCGCCCCACACCCCTCATTCTGCTGAAAGTACCTCCTATTTGCAGCCAACAAAGCCGAACATCAAGTATCGAGTGCTCCTGACCCCATCCAGCACTCCCACTCCCGAACTTGGAACCACATTTGACTGGACAGGTGTGCGTGCCAGCCTTTCTGCGAAGGCAGCGGAGAGGTAAACGCCTCTTGAAATCCTGGTTAAGGTCCGCTGGTCGAACCTCAACTTGAGGACTGATATCTGGCTCGGATGACGAAAGACTCCACAGTGTGTTCTCGTGACTTTGCCCTGTGTACTTTGCATGCTCTACGGTGCATTGATTTGATGATCCGATGTTTAACCTCCTGACCGTTGGCATCTAACACTTGATTGCTATATTGTGTGTCCTCTGGTAGATACGTACGGACTCGTTATTTGAGAAATGATAATAAATGGCTGCGCCATGACCCATCACCAACCCTTCGTGGATACATTATGATGACGTGATATCCAGCTCAATGAATTCGTTGGAGTATTACAAACAGGTTGTTTGACCGGACAGATGACGTTCCCATGCTCGAGGAGGATGGCGTCCTAAACGAAAGATTACGTCATACCTGGGCAACGCCACGTGCAAAGAGAATGCAGATAGCAATCCGCTCCGCGCACCCCCTGGGCAACCCTACATACGTGGAAATGCAGAGACAATTAAGCAAAGCGAGCGTCAGTTTATTTCAAGGGAGTTGGGAGGCAACTTGAAAGGAGACGAGCCATTCTATTAAGTGCAAATCTGCTACAGTGAAGTACTCGTACAGCCGCAACATAGCGTAGAGCGATGGTATAATGTAGAGATCCCCCAGCGCAGGGCCAACAGGATGGGTTTGACATACAGTGAGAAATCGGTAAGAGGAGTTGAAAGCAAGGGTGGGGAGGTCCGCTCCATTCATCTGCGTAATGCATTCCCCTGCACTGTTGACACAAGCCTGCATGATAACTTGCCCCTGCGCAAGAAAACATACCTAATTCATCACAATCTGACGTTATTAAAAATGGAATGGCGGGACGTGGAAAAGAAGAAACATAGACAGAGACAAGGGGGCAGGACGTGACCAGGCAATCGCCCTGAGTGCAGACAGGCTGCAGGCACATGAACTGGTTAAACTAGTTAACAAATTTCCTTAACAGGAAGTTTGGGCGGAAGTAAAAGGGCAATTTCTCCCTGCCAAAAGCCTGGGACAACTACGTTGCCCAGGGAAATGCGGGATCAGAACGTTTTAAGACCGGTCCAACTATGTTGTTGAGGGATGACCGGACGGCGCCAGTAGATGGCGCCGTCCGCAATGCACCGAAATAGCTTGAATTCGACTGGAAGAGTATAATTAATCCAACTCAGAGGGATGCCGTCGTACTGTGGTATAATGTGCATGCGTGTTACTCAAACACCATTCAATTACTGGTGCATTGTGATGTCTACACTCCACGTGCGGAAGTGACACCTCATCCGTCTTCCATATCAACATCATCTTGGTTGAGACCGCTTCCTTTCTCCGTAACGAAGTCCACCATCCACTGGACCGGCGGGCCATAGAAGCGAGAGCACGGCCGGGTTTCCTCGCATAGTGCGTCTGCCCACAAAGGTTGGAAGCTGTCGAGCAGGGCCACGAAGAGGCCGGCGACGCCCAGTTCCTTCAGAACAGGGTATGTCTCAGCGGTACGGCCACGCATCTCGAGCGTCCAACGCTGTTTATCGACTGCGCGATTGCCGCTCTGTTTACTCGCCGATCTTGTCAGGCGAGTAGAGTGACCGGCAGGCTTTCCCGTCCGGACACATGTATTAGTATCAGAGAAAGGTGTCTCCGTGCCAAACTCCATCAACAGGACCAGGTACGGCTCCCCTGTGCGCTTCAGCCGGTCGGTCAGGCCAATGGGCCGGATTCTGTCCCGCGCCTGGTAATCCGGATTCACCTTGAACTTGACCTGGCCGTAAACAAGCGTTAACTGGGTGGGGTCAAAGGGAGCGTCATCCTCTACGGAGCCGATGTAGCAGACGACCGCGTAGTCGAACGATTCTTGATTATGCGAACATTGTAGTGCGCTGCCTCTCGCCCACAAGTTGGCGAGGAAATTGCTGGGAAGAACGCTCAGAGTGGCAACCCACGGAGACATACGTGTCTCGTACCTGGTCACTTCCTCAGGGAGAGCCGCTTTTGTCACCAGCCAATGTGTGAAATTGATGTGATGGTTGGCGAATTTTCTTTGAACTCCTCGTCCAGACGTGGTCCCAGGAGGCACTCCAGCCAGTCGATCAAGCGAACGCACCTGAGCGGCTCCTGCTCGTCTCTCTTTCTCTTGAGAGCAAGTACTCGAGGGCAATATAAAAGAATTCTGGCAGCGAGCTCGCCAATATCCCCTTTCGGGATCAGATTTCCTCTACAGAGGTCTTTAGCCAGGGTGCCAAACGCCTTGGGGAACACGTCTTCGCTGCTGAAGAGCTCATGCGCGGCGCAGAGCGACAGCACCGGTTCTGCGGGTGTGTGAGTCAGGTACGCCAATGTTGGGTATTGCTGTACGCCATCGAATAGTCGCATATAACTTGAAACGGCCTTATCTGCCATTGTGGTCGCTTCTACTGTATGTAGGACAAGGTCCAGGTTGACAATGAGTGAAAATCCGGCGAAGACTCTATCACGATCCGTCGGGTCGAATTTCCGACCGCAAAACAACTTGAAAATGCCTTGTTGAAGAAGGTCGTGCGATTTATCTGCCAAGATATGGGCATGCCACCTGTGGTGGGCGTGATGAGAAGCAGAAAAGGCATACGGGTCATAGCTCACATGGGACACCCATAATATGATGCATGCTTCCAAGACCGTAGGTCTTTCATGGTACGACTGTCAATGGCCTTCCCCGCCCAATGATCCCATCCAAGGGAATACCATGGCGGGATTAAAGTCGCTACCTCAGCATTCAGCCTACCCGAGTTGACTACATAACCATCAGAAGAGGAAAGGCACCCAGCTTCGGAAAGACCTACTGCGCTCCGGGGCCGGCATGTAGTCGGTCACAAAAGCATTAGTCGCCATGAACACCAGCCACAGTGGTACCGTCCTGGGTTGGCGGTTGCTCAGTCTCAGGAGAACCCAATAGAGAAGTTGCAGTGTCCCCGCTTCATCGAAGTAGACGATGGCTTGGACGCGCTGGCCGCGGATGTTTTGCAAATATTCCATGAGGTTGTTTAGAGCCGGGGCAATATACTGCTCGTAGCACTGTGACGAAATTTTTAGGATGCTGTTGTCTCCATCTGCGTTCCGTGCATCCTTCCCCTTAGGGCTGCTACCACGGGTCTCCCACGACTCAGCGGACTTGGGGAAGAGTCAGACAGAATCCGGCGCTGGCACACATAAGGCTCGTACCTGTTTAGCAGCAGCTATCACTGTGCCCCAGAATGTCTCGCGATACGTGCGATCAGTGTCTTCCATATTATTCGTCCATGAGCGTATTAGTTGAACATAGCCAAGTCCGGGCTCCTTCTGTTCTATATTCTTCAAATATGTCAAAGCGGTCGACAGCGCAACTCCTAGAAAGGCAGCGCATTTGACATGTGCAGTTATCGAGTGGTCGTTGTCCCTTGGTAAGCTTTCGAAGTAATCCCTAGGGATATCATCTGTCGGCGGCCACCCAGGTGCCCCGGCTGCTCGCAGATTGATTGGCAGACAGAAGATGGGTTCCTCCACGCTGGGAGGCGCATCGGCAGCTATTGGTTCCTCGGCTGAACCAATCCCAAGCTGGACGCTCAGTCAGTAGTCTTTGAGCACAGGAGATAGATGGGGAGACGCACCTGCTGGACAGTCCTGGACTTTCCGGTTCCTGATGAATTGATTATGCTGAAAGCCCTAGCGTACAAGGGTTGGTCCGAGTCGGTGAAACGGTTGTCAAGAGTGTGGAGGTGCTCTACAAGCGCGTCACGCGCATTGGATTTGAAAGGGGCATTGTAAGCTGATGCGAGGTCTGTGAGGGCCAGGTGAACATTGCATCGCCAAGAAACCAAGGCAAAACCCCCTACAGGCAGCAAGGTCGGCACTGTGACTCTGGATTAGGATATGGCAAGACGCTCTCATCAACTACAAGACTTGCCGTAGACGGCTCTGAAATGTATCGAGACGTTTCGTAACAGTTATGTACGCAATCAGTTCGGCTGCATGAGATTAGCATGGTCTGATCGGGAGCAGAGAGGTAAAACAACACGGACGGATGTTCAATATCTTCGCCCAGGTTTCCTCTCCAACCTCCGTAACTTTCTGGCTGGTGGGGGCTGGAGGGAGAATCTCTAATATTCTACGTATCAGGGTTTTGCCTCTTGGGGTTTGGGCGAAGTCTTCAACATCTTTCGGGGAGATGTCACGTCGGAGACTGCTATTTGTGTTGTGCGGGTCAAGAGCATCGATAATCAGAATAACTAGCGAGGCAAATCGGTGGTAATCGTGTTCGTGGTTCGGGTAAAAACTGCAGAAGGAAGATATTGGTAAATCCCATCTGGTGTCAAGCTGGAAGAAGCTGATTCCATATCGTTATCAAGCACGTAGTAGTGTGAATGACAAAGTGAGCAGGTGGTCAGGAAGCCGGGGGCAAAGCCACGCTTGGGCTACTAAGAAAACGGGAAGCAAATCTGGACCCTGAGTCCAATCCGGCCCAATGATGCGCCGAGATCGGCACGGCGGCATGTAACAAACTCCTCTGCAAGGCGTTTCCTGCCGCCCCACTTGGACGAACGAGGCCGGCCGGCTCGTATGTACAAATTTCAGATGAGATACAGCAGCGCGAAATATCTAGCACGCATCGTTACATATACATCTCCTCGTCCATGTCGTCCCACGGCCAGTGAGCCTTAATCTCCTCCCGTTCCTTCGCCGACTCGGCCCCCGCCAACGCCTTCTCCTTCCACCCCTGGAAGAAAGCCACGGCACCCTCGTAATTGTCAGCCGGTACCCAGCCCTCCTCCCCGACGCCGCCACTGGACTGTAAGAACTCGAAACCACAGGTCGCTTGGCTCAGTTCTTTATCCAGCACCGCCGTCTGGTCTAGGTCTTTGGCGTCGAACTCGAGGGGACATGGCACGCCTCCGCCCGTAAGCTCTTCCCACTTGTTAGTAGTTTGAATAAGCGCAGCCTTCAGGTCGGAGCTCTCGCCCTCCCACGGGCCACCAGCGTGCAGGAAGAGTCGGCCACGGAGCGCGTACAGGCGGTCCGTAAAGGCGGCGTAGTGGAGCGGGTTGCACTCCATCGTGCTGGCGACGTAGTGGTAGTGAACGAGGCGACAACGGTACCGATACTCCTCGCCGTCTCGCTGAGCTTCGCCCATCTCGTCGAGGTTCTCCGGTCGAGAGGGCGGCATCATGGACTGCGACGCGCCGTCTGCGTGGTTCTGGAGGCGTTGGGGAATACCGGCGAGGAGAAACATGGGCAGGATAGACGTGTGTTGCCAGTCAAACAGGCTGACGATTTTGCAGTCGGAGCCGGGCGACCACGACACAAAGATGTTGTTCGGCTGGAGGTCTGGATGGCGGATGTAGAAACGACTTAAAGCGGGGTCCCTAGGAACGAGCGACGATGTGATGCTGAGGTACCGCTCCAAGTTCTCGACGTGGTCCGACGGTGACTGCTCCTGGTACTTATAGCAGGGCCTCCTTTCGCGCCGCAGCGGTAGGAGCGGTTTTCCAAAGTGCTTCAGATAGGTGATCTCCTTCTGCGCCGCTGCCGCGAGAGCTGCTTCGGCGCTATGATCTATAGATGCCAGTTAGTTTGAGGGCGTAATAATAAAGAGGCGGAGAGCAGCATACATGGTCCTCGATTTACATCGAGCCCTGCCCTTCTCCCATACCACAACGCCAGGTTCGTGTCCGGGCCGACGCAGAAACGCTTGTCCCCCAGAGGCACGCCCAGCCCTGGGGCGACCTTCTCGAGGTCTTTGGTGAAGTACAGGCTTCCGCCAGCGGGAAATGGCTGAGACATCATGTGTGATTCGAGCTGAGTGAGCTGGCGGAGGACGGAGATGATTTCCTCGTCCCCAAGGCTGGGCCAGACCTCACTCAGCTTTGGGCCGTCAACGAATTCCATAAGAATATACGGGGTCCCAGCGGCGTTGCGCGAGTCGGCCGAGTACCCGTATATCTCAGGAACAGGGATGCCGGAGGACCGCTGGTACTCGGTAGTAGCCACCTCGCTGGCGACGGCGTAGTAGTTAGGGACCGTCATGGGGTAGGGAATCCGGGCGACCACCTGCCGACCGTTGCGCAGAGCGACGACGAAGGTGCGGTTGAAACCGCCCTCGGCGAGCTTGGATATGCTGACGACATCCGTGAGACTTTGATTCACAGACTCGGCTGCAAGTCGACGCAACCCGTCGACATTGAAAGCGACCTTCCGCTCCTTGTGGCGAAGAGCGTCGTTGTAGCTGAATGATAGAGATGACGAATCAGATATCCATGCGCTAGAACAACACCTATGAAGCTTACACCCAACGCCCTGAAGTGTAGTCGTAGAGGTCGTTTTGAGACTCGGTCATGGAGGACAAGGCGTGACGCGGCAGCGAACGTGTTGTGGAGGCGGAGAAGAACAGTCGGGGAGAGGCGGAAGCTTCGGGATTCTTAAAGACGATGGAACTAGCCCTTCCAAGGCGAAGCATGCCAAAGTAGGCTGAGGTGAGGTCGCGGTGAAGTCGCGGTGAAGTCGCGGTGGGGGAAAAGAAGGCAAGCAGGAGCCAAACAGCATGCCCCTCTTATAACCGAAAAGGCTCACAAGACCAGGTCCCCTAGCTCGTGAGAGTAGGGTTCTTACCCGGGGGTCGACTCGGGATCAAAACGCTGACAGTAGAAATGATATGGTAACTCCATGGAAACTTGTTCGCTTCCTCATTTGTATTCAGATTCCGTGTCCTCGGCATAAGAGCTAGGGTTTTGCCGGCGCTCAGCATGGCCCCTTTCCTAGTTCAAAATTGTTCCTTCACGCCGCCAGCCAGGTAGTCAGCCACCGTGGCAGCATTCGGAGGTTCCATTCAAACTTCAAATAACGATGTAGAGACAAGCGAGATACCAGTACATATTCGACGTAATCAACAAACGGCATTTGCGCGAGCGGTGTGTACATGGAGAAGACAACTAAGCACCCTTAACTCCCTCGTGGGCCTTTTTGAGAGCGGCCTCGACGTCGTCCTTACCTCCACCCCTGGGAACGAACACATCCGCCATGACTACGTGCGTGCCGCGATCCGCCTTCGAGCGCCACTTCTTGATAGTAGACGGGATCTTGTTGCCGGCATTCGCCTGCATCTGGAATTTGTGGTAGACGGTGCCATCGATCTCCTGCTCCCCATCATAGTCATAGCGGACGCCGTGTTTCTCCTGCTCACCCGAGTCGCGAGGCCAAGCAGTCGAACCGCGTGTGACGGTTGGGTTGATGAATTTCTTCCACCCAAGACCGCCGACAATGGCCTCGGTGACTGCGGTGAGGAAGCGCTGCATCTACGGTCGACGTCAGCCAACATCATCTCAAGACCAGTACGGAACCGGTTAATCATAGGGCAGGGCGTACTTCGAGAGTAAGATGACTGATAGAAAACGACCTGAATGCACAAGCGTTAGCCAACACTGGCTCGTGATTAATATGGAGTTGTGAGCACGTACGATTGGGATGAGTAAATCTCTGTCCGTTGCTGACTGTCTCTCTCCCTTCGAAAGGAGGAGCATTTATTACCGTTCATAGTCCTAGCCATGACGCTGCGGCTGGAGATAGTTCCAGCGAGGTAGTCTTCTTCCTGGCTTTTGCGCGCAGACCTGCTGACCTCTAAGTTGGAAGGCCAAGGACGAGAACGAAAGATAGGGAGAACTTCGGTAGGAGAAACCGCTCCAAAGGTCCCCGTGTTGCACCTCATTCAAGCAATGAGAAGCGCGTGACGACGCAAAATGCAACTGGTCGCACATTCAACGATGTTCTGTCCAGCCGTCAGGTGAGCCTGCCAGGGCTTATATGACTTTGCCCCCGGCTTCCCCACCTACGCTCACTCCGTCATTCACACTACTACGTGCTTGATAGCGATATGGAATCAGCTCCTTCCAGCTTGACACCAGATGGGATTTACCAAAATCTTCCTTCTTCAGTTTTGATCCCCAGACACGAACAAGATATATGTAACTGATGCAGGGTATGTATATGTGCAAGTGGGGTTTGCTGGTATGCTGGAAGGAATGTCGTATGAGGTGTAGAAGCGTAGCGCGTGTGTAGTAATGAGCGTATCCCAATATGGGAGAGTCGATGTCAGGACCCTAATGGGTTGCTGACTAAGCAAGGCTGAGACGTTGCACTTGCTCTCTATACCAAAGCCAGGCAAAGCCCGTCCTCAGTACAGGTATAGTAAAATGGTGACCAAACAGCAGATAATGATTACTGACAGCTGAGACTCATACATATACCACGTATCCTACCAGCTAGAGATCATAAAGTGATGGATGGTAAGAAAAAAGGTAGGATGTAGTTCTAGCTATTCTCTATTGCGCATTTGCTTCCGCTTTGCTTCCGTTCTACTTATCTCATCAGGCAATGGTTGTGCAGACATCTCTGTGCTATATCACATCACCCTCCCTTGAACATGCAACCTTTGCACCCCTCTCAGTATCTCTGTCCTTACCTGTATCTCCCTCCCTGATTCCTAGCATCATCCTGAACTTCTCAAACTTGGGACATGTCAAGGATTTGGTGAGAGTATCTGCAACCATGTTGTCCATAGGGCAGTAGATAATACTGGCTTCATTCGAATCCACAATTTGCTGGATATAGTGATAGTGAACTGAGATGTGCTTTGTCCTTGCATGATATGTTACATCCTTGGATAGAACAATTGCACCTTGATTGTCACAAAAGAGTGTGGTGGCAGTATCTTCTCCAGTGATAGGAAACAGCTCTGATAAGAGTTTGCATAACCAGACAAATTCCTTAGAGGTGTGGGTGAGTGCCATGTACTCTGCCTCTGTGCTGGATAGTGCAATAATAGGCTGTTTCTTAGTGCTCCAGGAGATAGTGCCATTACCAAGAAAGAATGTGTATCCTGAGATAGAATGATGATGGGCTTGGCTGGCCCAATCAGAATTGGTATAGTCAGTGAGGGTATTACCTCTGCTGGTATTATTACTGAGAATTCATGAATGTGTGAGAGTGCCTTTCAGGTATTGAAATATATGAGTGAGAGCCTTCAAGTGTGTGGTATGTGGCTTCTCCAAGAATTGCAAAAGGAATGTGACCACATATTGGATATCAGGTCTTGTCATGATGGCTGCATACATGAGTGCACCAAGGCCAAAGCAATAATGTGCATGCTCAGCTTCATTGAGCAGCACCAGGGATAAGGCAGCAGATTCATAGCTCAGGTCTGAACCAGGCTCCATTAGTGTGGTGACATGTGAGGCATTCTCCAGTCCCATTTGTCCAATGATATCTTTGAGATATGTCTTCTGGCTGAGCATGATAGTGTGTGCCTTGAGGTTACAGGTTATATGGATTCCAAGTAACCAGTTGATATCACTGAGATTGATTAACTCAAAGCTCTTGTTCATGTCTTTGATGAACTTTGTGATCAATTGTTTTTCAGGTGATATAATAGTAAAGTCATCCATTGCAACACAAACAATAATGTATTTGTTGTTGTCAAACTTGTAGAAGACTGCTGTGTCTGCATTGCATACCTTGAAGTTGAGACTAATAAAAGTCTTCTTCAGGTGTTGGTACCATAGCTGGCCACCTTGCTTTGTGCCATAGAGGCCCTTGTTAAGCTTGGCAACAAGGTGTCTGCCAGTGCAATCCTTGTTGGCTTTGGCAAAGCTAGAGTTGAATTCCTCATAATGTGGAGGAAGCTCCATGTGGATGTCTTCAGTCATAGGGGCATTGAGGTAAGTGTTCTTCACATCAGCCTGTGTGATTGCATCTCCTTGAATTGCACCCATTGATAAGAGTACTCGATGTGTAGTAGGCTTGATTACTGGTGCATATGTGTCATAGTAATTGATACTGTGTCTTTGGGTGAAGCCTCTTGCAACTAGGCATGCCTTGTACTTGATAGGCTTGCCACTCTCATCATGTTTGATGTGGAAGGCATAACAGCTGCCAACAATGTTGGTGCCAGGAGGTGCTTCAACAACTGTCCAAGTGTTGAGCTTCTCTATCTGCTCAAGTTCTGCTTTGATCCCCTCATGCCATTTATTCCCTTCACCATTTGGCTGAGCCAATGCCTCATCCAGCATGTTTGGCTCTCCGCCTTAATTGGCAGTGAGTGCAAACTCTTCATAGCCAGTATTGACTTTGAAACCAGCTGGTGCAAGCATAGACAGGAGTGCATCCTCAGAGAGGGCTGTGACTGCACCTGTGTTCAGCTTTTGATAGTAACCAGCTTCAGGTCATGCACATCTGCCACATCCAAATTCCTCTTCAAGTGGCTCATCAAGCTCAGGAGGAGGTGATGGTTCATGCATTGGTGTGTTGTGATGAGTGCTGGCTGGTGGTGTTGTTAAGGGTGATAGCTCATGTTCCTCTTCAGGATCATGAGTAGGCAAAGCATTGGGTCAATCTTGTTTAACCATGCTGGGCTCTGGCAGCTTGACTGCAATATCCACCAGTTCTTCATCCTCTGATGTGTTCCCTCCCTCAAGCATCATGGGCCCAGTGGTTGGATCCAGTAGTGCATCTTTGGTGGGATAGATATCCTGTTCAACAGAGACATCATGCTTGGCTAGCCAATAGATATGGTAACCCTTGGGCTCTTTGTCAACACCAAGGAAGTGACCCTCCAAGGCTTGCAGTTGTGTCTTGTGGGCACTAAGGATTTTCACCCACACCTTTGCACCAAATGGTAGCATATTATGCAGGTTGGGCTTGTGACCAGTGGCTGCCTCATAAGGTGTTGTGCCATGGGGAAGGTGAAAGGTTGTTACTTGATTGTGAAGATAAGCTGCATTGCAAATTGCCTCTGCCCAGAGGAGGTTGGGTAGATGGGCTGCTCTTAGCAGGCAATGCATATCTGAGATGAGGATACAGTTCATGACTTTTGCCACTCCATTGGATTATGGTGAGTCATGGGTGGTGAGGTGCTGAATCGTGCCTTTGCTGTCTGTGTGTACACAAAAGGTGTTGGAGGTGTATTCTCCTCCATGATCAGAACCAAGGATTGTAATGCCCTTATCATTTCCATGCATGGTGAGCCAGGCCTCATAGTTCTTATAGAACTTGCAGGCATCTGACTTCTTCAAAAGGAAGTAGACTCATACTTCATAGCTGTAGGAGTCAACAAGTACTTGCATGTACTTAGCTCCACTGAGAGAGGTAACTGAGTGTGGTCCCCACAGATCTGCATTGACCTTGCCACCATAGTGTGCTGCACATGTGTGCCTGCTGGTTTTAGGAAATGGCAGGTGTTGAACAACCCCACCCCGGTGGGGTGTGTCAGGCTGACATTCCCACACCTATTTTTGGGCCTTAGAGACCATTGTGCAGCACTACAGACCCTCACTATGTGGACAATGCACCCCAGCAATGAGTCTCAACCCTCCCCAGATATTTGGCATGACAACTGCAAGGTTTCCCATGCAACAGGGCGACCCAGATATTTGGCATGACAACTGTAGGTTTCCTCCACAACAGGATCAACCCACATGGATATTTGGCATGCCAATGCCTGCCTAGGAGAGGTATCCAGAGACTGGACTAGTATAGAGTATGGTTTTTAGTAGCTAGTATAAGTAGTTTCCAGAAACTCCCATATCTAGCTTATTCTGCCCTTTATTGGTTAGCCTTATACAGATCCGATTATTGGTATATTGGCAGACTTGACTTGACTTAACAGTTTTTGACTTGACTTATTGTGACTGGACTGGACGGACACTGAGCTCCAATTATTACATGCTGATTTTTGATAGCTCAGCTACAGGCTGACTCTGGCATTCCTACTGACTTTCCCCATCTCTCCCCTCTTTCCCTAGCGAGTTCTTGCACACCACCCATCAGACCAATATTTTGGACACCTTTTGGGTTGGATCATATTAGAGCCCAATGTGAGGCAGCTTTGACTGATTAAGAGCTGCTGAGGCAAGAACTCCTCCTCTGATTTCTGATACTGGCTTCCTGTACTCCAGTAGCCACCTCCACTATTGTTAGGGCAACACAGGCTGACTAAGTCTGCTCACCTAAGAGTGCCAAGAGTCTAAGCAGGCAACAAGGAAGTGGAGTAGACCTGATGACTAAGACCTATCTACAGTATAGGTACCTGTGGATGATCCTAAGAGACCAAGTCTGAAGAGACAGTCCCCAGGCAGAGTAGGCCTTATATTTATACCTCTGTGGTGGAACCTGCTAGAACATCTTGCTTACTCAGCCTAGTCAGGTGATCAGGTCATATGACCAAGGATGAGGTCATATGAGGTCATGCACAGCCATGCACAGCAGGTCACCTGACCATCCAATCCTTCCAGCAGGTTCCAGCACATGCCAAGGTATACCAGCTACTTCCATGG